CCCAATAAGTGCAACTACAGTTCTTAGCCAGCCCAGATATCTTTGAAAAATCCCTTTCCCAGCCACATTTCTGTTCTGTTAAAAACATTGCTGTGGGCTCAGTCCCTAATTCTTAGAGTGAAGGAATGACCCAGAAGGTGGCACAGAAATGAAACTTATTACTTATGACATCATCTGCCAGTATGAGCTGCTGCTATCCAGCCTGAATTTACCTTCAAGTTTATTTCCTGAGGTGTGGAGATTTATAACACTGCGGTCACCTCAGCCAGTTTATCAGTGATTGCTTCATTAGCCACATAAACCTCTGTATCTACTCCTAATCTTGCACAGCCCTCTGCACAATGTTATTTTATGACAATGAGTAACATGAGTTATGTGTTGTTTAAAATGTTTTTCTTTTTTTCAGCAGTTAATTACTGTCCTTTTAATGCCACAATAAATATTTTCAATCAAGATGAACTTATTTAATGTAAATAAATATACCCAGCCATGTGCCTTTCTAAAAAACAACAATGTAATCTGTATTAATTTGAATTTCTATGATCTAGAACAGACTATAATATGCAGATAAAAACCTCGAGTTCATTCCTTTGTAAATCTATTCTAAAAGAGTCAAGTTATGAGATAGTTTAAATGCATAGGGAAGGAAAGGATCCTTTCAGGAGAGCCTGGTATCCTCCTTCTGCCTCACCACCCACAATTCAACTGTTTTACCTCATCTGGTTCCCTTAAAAGTCCCCTATTTGGATTTGAATTCTGAAAGATTGCACAAAGAGTTCACCCAGGCTTAGGATTCATCTCCATGTGGGATCAGGAAGAAATCCTCTTCATTCAGTGCAGTTCAGCACAGCATTACAAGGGTGTTACAATTCCCTTGGACAGCTCCTGTCCAGGTTATCCCTGTGGATGGGACAGAGCCCGGCCACGACAACCAACACTTTTCAAGCTGAGAACTCCACACAGAGACCTGCTCTCCTTCCTCGTGCTGAGGGGGGCTCTGCTGCTTCCTTAAGGCAGGGGCAGACTTTTTTCAGACTTCTAAATACTGATTTTTCGACCCCACCTAAATACATAGTGCATTCTCCTCTGTCCCAGACAGTGAGCTGGCATCATCCTCATGAAGTCTGTTTCTGAGACAGGGCCTGTATCAGTAACTGGTCATTTTGGGGTTTTCAAGCACAGTTTTAGCAGAAATGCACAGATAAAGGAGTGTGAGAAAAAACATGGTTTAGGGTGGGCAATGGGCCCACAAAACCTAAATGTGAGAAAGGATTTAAGAGCCAGTGACAACACAAAACCGATAGTATTTTATTTAATTAACCGCTTTTTACTAGAAAATGCTCTTCTCTATGTAAATTCTATTTATATAGAAACAACAAACACTGAATCACCACAGAAAAAAAAGATTATTCAAAATTGCAAGTGTTTGTAATCTTGTTTTGGCAAGTTCAAGCTAATAACCTGAGCTGTTAACACAAACACATGAGATATTTTTCTTACTCTGAAAATAAACCCACAAGGCTTTAAATATCATTATTGGACAGCTGAAAATTAGCATTTTAAATGCATTTTTCTCCTCTCATCATGGAATTTCCCTTTCCTGAGGTTCAGGGCTTGTTCAAAGGAAACGTGTTTCTACTTAATCATGAAATGTAAAGAAACTATAATCTGTGTATTTCCAGTGTCTGTGGAAAGTTTTTACAACTCTGGCTAAGCCAAAAAGGTCTGCCCTGAAGAACAAAGGTCTGCTCAACAGCAGGAATGGGAATCAAAGGAATACATTTTCTGGATCACACTGTCTGTGATTTTTAGTGTTGTCCAGGGGTGTTTTGGGAAAGAACAGCTTCAGAAAGGACACTTGTAGCAACAGTACAATGGTACAGCAGCAATTTCTTGCACCATCTGTAATTAACAAAACAAGCAAAAAAGTGCAGCTCTGTAACTAACCCTGGAGTTCCTAAAAAAGCAGAGAAGAGTTTCATCTTTTTATCAGTATGTTTTTAACGGTCCCATCTACAGAGAAGCCTTATTATGAAGAAGATGATCTAGTGCCACAGAATCTCACATTTTCTCTGAGCTGCAGATAAACTTACTTGTCACAGGAGTCTACATACCCACCCACAGCCATACAAAAAAACCTTCCTCAAGCCCACCTCCTCATTCTACTTGGTAATGTTTTAGTTATCAGACACAGTAGCAGATAAGTGAGACAGAAATAATTGGGAGGAATTGTATAAAACTGTATGTAGATATACTCATTTAAATCCTATATCAAGCTCACACTTCCATGCCCAATTAAGAGCAGCGTTGCAAATGTGCTCAGAAAGTTTCTCTGCTGAGTGTCAGAAATCAAATCAAAATGCCAGCACATATTTTTAACACCCCTTTGAAAATGTAGAAGAGGAGCACAGATCTTTACAAAACCGAGCCATGCAAAAGGACTCCTTTTGCATTTATCTGCTTTCACAAAATACATTTTTAAAGTTCCACACATTTGAAAATTTGAACTGAGAACACATGAAGGTGTTCTCCACCTTTCCTCTGTTGCATGTTCCATATTCAGTCTTTTGTTGTTCAACAGGCTCTCTGCAGATGCACATTGAACCATCCTGCCTTTCTATACATCATTATTGAAATATTATTGAGTAGAATCTCCAGGCTATTAAATTTACTTTCTCATTGAAAACTATGATTCATCTGAGGGAAAGCAGCTCTGCAATGAATACAACCCACACTGCTCCAAGCAGGTGTTTTCAATTGCACTGCCTTGAAATGCTGCCTTGAACTCGGCAGAAAGAGGAGCCTGTTTCTCACAGTACCTATTCAATCACTCATCCCGAGGCAGGTAAATACTTAATGTTCATGGCCAGGTTTCAATACACTTGGCTTTATTATGACACCTGCTGCTGAAGATCTCAAAGCAATTTGTGAACATTATTCAGCTGAGTCTCGTGACTATTCAACCAGTATGTCATTACACAGACTGGTAAACAGGGATGTGAAAACACATCAGACTTCTCAGTAGGGCTGTGAGAGATGAGCAGTAGCTTTGTCTTCCTTTGACCCCTAGAATAGGATTTTTCTGTCTGTGGTCTCATCCAAACGGGCACAGAAAGCAACACTAGTAAGGGATGCAGACTGGTCCCAGTACCGAGCAAAGAAATATGTTTTAGTCCAACCACTAGCAGTCAGGATCCCTGTTCCCTTCCTTTCTTCTCTTTCCTGTCACTGCTGTTGGCACAGTGTCCCAGACCTTGCCAGAGAGCTGGAAACAGCTGACTCCTGGAAATGGCTGTTGAAAGGCTACTGAAAGATCTGGTTCCTTGGCCCTACAAAGCCTTCCTGTAGTGTGGTCAAAGCCAGGGAGGATTTCCAGGCCACTCTGTTACTCTTCGCAAGCTGGGTGTGCCTCACATGATGTCAGCTGCAAAATCAAAGCAGAGTAGTTTACACCCTCACTGACCTTGTCTTATCCAAGCTCTCCACATTTTAAAGTGACCATATTTTCTTATGTGCCAAAGGCTGAAACATCATTATGTCTGGACCTAATGGTCTAATCAAATGAGCTTTAATCAGTGTAGCTCAAACACCAAGAGGGGAAGATGCAGCAACTCTCTGTGCCCTCTGTGATATCACAATTCCACTGAGAGAAGTCCCAAGTCATTGCCTTGGCCAGGCACAGTTTTATCACACTCCTGACAGCTGGGTCAGCACCTTCACAGCAGATCAGAACGTCCAGCCTGAGGAATTCACTGCTAAAACAGACAAGGCAGAGAAACAAAGTCAGAAAACACAAACAGAACTGAGTGGTTCCATGGAGTCCAGCAGGAATGGTAAGTGTGAAGGATAAATGCTCAAAGTCACAGGCTGATAACTGCTTTTATTAGCAGTGAAAACTCTTCCTTGGAGAGAGCAGAGGCAGGAAAGCTGAGGTTAAGCTCATAAACTGGGTGTTTGTTCCTCTTCCCTTCAGTGACTCCGTGACTTGTTATGGTGTCATTCTTGTAAATGTTTCCAAGTAAAGTTTCTGAAGGACAGTGCTATGCTATAGTCCTGTGTGGGGAGGGCTGCACAAACATCTCCTCGAGCAAAATCCAACCAGAGCTTGTGTTTACTTGGTTTGTCCTTAAAACCAGCAGTCAGCTGCAACTTTCAGCCATAGCTGCTTTATTAAAAATGAACATTTTACTTTAAACTCAGTACATCGTGTAAAAGGCAAATCAATATAGAGTAACCCAGAGTACTGCAGGCAACAGCTGCAGGACACAATCTGATGACAGAAAGTTGAGAACAGTTTTTTGGCAGTTACATGTTCAGCAAATCCTTCACTTTTTGTTACTAATGGCTCTGAGCTTTAAAGACTTGAGATGTCCCCCACCAGGTAACACAAAATTAAGAAATCAAGAAACCACTGCTTTCAACATTAAAGGCTATTATCTCAAAAATAAATAAGTTGGTTTGTATTTTTTTGTTTGTTCTATAGGCTACTGTAAGAGGATAACTCTTCCCACAGTTACAATGAGTTAACAACAGTCTCAGTGACCTCACATCTCTTACTAAAGACATAGGAAGATGGTTAAGCATAAGGAGTGCCTGGAAAAGGTAATAAATACTTATCTCTGCCTTCCCTTGGGCTGTGGGTTGGGGTGCTCAGCTCTGTTCTAGTCTGGGATTCATAATGTACCCATGCTTAGAAAAGTTACAGAGGGACAAAAGAGGAGATGAAGCCACATTCATCCTGTAACACAGGAGTACAGAACAAACATAAAGGTTTTGCTAATCTGTTACTTTTTTATTATTAACAGAATTTTCACAGTTAGAAACAAACTTTAGGCAATCACGAAGTACCGAATTTACAAACAAGCCAGAGACTTTTTGGAACCAACCTACTTGTCCTTAGAAAATTATTAGTTCTCTAAAACGATGATTAGTTGTCTAAAATGACACGTGATTCGCTTCAATTACAAAATAAACTCAAATACATTTCCTTAGTGGGCAAAGGGGCAGCAGATCATTTAGCACTGGAATTGCTGCTTTCACCACAGCCCGCCAAGTACATTTTCCCTCAGACAGCGAAAGTGGTTTTTTTTTTTTTAAAGGTTTCCACTCCAGATTTGTGTGGCAAACGCTGTAATTAAGACTGATCCATTCGGTTTGCTCAGTCGCTGCTGGTGGGAGCTGTGTGTTGGCCTGCATTGCCCTCTAGCGCTGCCGGCCCCGCCGCAGTGATGTCACTGCCCAGGCACCGTGACTTCGGATCCAGCTCCGGCAGAGCTGGAAATGCTGACAAGCCCTCCTGGAGCCTCACAGGGACACCCCTCCAACGCAGCCACACTCGCTCCAGGGAAAACTCGAAACCTGTCTTGTCCTTCCAGGGGCGCCGTGATCGAAAGTGCCGCTTTCCAGCTCCAGCCAAGCTTTCTGCCTGCTCATTTGTGTTTCAGCGAGTCCGTGTGAGAAATTAGGCAAGTTTGAACAGCCTGCTGTTCCTGACAGGCTCCCGAGGACTCCACGCTGGGCAAGTTTTACGTGCTCAGAGCTGACAGCTCTCAGGGGAGATGAGTTCTCCACCTCACACTGGCCAGGGCTCTGCAGCAACTTCTTGGGTCGAGAGATGACTTTGAACTGATTCAAACCATCGGCGTGTTGTGTGAGGGACCCAACCATAACTTGCTATGGAGGATGATTTTTAAGATGAATACCAACCTTGGCGATAAATCCAATACATCGATACCGGGATATTTGAAAGTGTCTGCGCTAAATAATGGCAATTTTTCTGCCAACAACTCCAATGAGACAGCAGCTAACCTGGATTTACCTGCCTTGGCTACCAGCAGGGCGATAATTGTGGGGCTGATCCTCGGTGCCTTTATCCTCTTTGCTATCATAGGTAACATCCTGGTAATTCTCTCTGTTGCTTGCAATAGACATTTAAGAATCCCTACCAACTATTTCATCATTAACCTCGCAATAGCAGATTTGCTGCTGAGTTTTACAGTCCTTCCGTTCTCTGCTACACTGGAAGTCCTTGGCTACTGGGTTTTGGGGAGGATATTTTGTGATATCTGGGCAGCAGTTGATGTGCTGTGCTGCACAGCCTCCATTTTAAGTCTGTGTGCAATTTCTATTGATAGATATATCGGGGTACGTTATTCTCTGCAGTACCCAACACTGGTAACAAGAAGAAGGGCAATTTTAGCTCTCCTGGGTGTCTGGGTCCTTTCCATGGTGATTTCCATTGGGCCTCTCCTGGGCTGGAAAGAACCAGCTCCCAAGGACGACAAGGAGTGCCGCATCACCGAGGAACCCTTCTATGCTTTGTTTTCCTCCTTGGGGTCATTTTATATTCCTTTAATCGTCATCCTCGTGATGTACTGTCGGGTCTACATAGTGGCCAAAAGGACTACTAAAAACCTGGAAGCTGGGGTGATGAAGGAAATGTCCAACTCCAAAGAGCTGACCTTACGGATTCATTACAAGAATGTTCACGAGGACACCCTAAACAACACCAAATCGAAGGGTCACAACCCCAGGAACTCCTTAGCTTTCAAACTTTTAAAATTCTCTAGAGAAAAGAAGGCAGCCAAGACGTTGGGAATTGTGGTTGGCATGTTTATCCTGTGCTGGCTACCTTTCTTCATTGTTCTGCCACTAGGTAAGTTGGTAATCAGGGGTTGTGAGGGGAGGGGGAGGAAAGTGGGTTAACTGGGTACTACAGAAATATCATAGAGAAAAAAATCAGTTGAATGAGAAGTAGACAGTGTTGGGAGAACTGCAGTGAACAGATGAAAGGAAAGGAGGGGAACTCCTGGCGTTGGCTTTTGCAGAGTCCTGCTGAAGCTTTGTGAAGTGTGCAGAAAGGTGCTCACCTGGAGTCCTCAGTGATGGGCAGATGTCAAATCAGGGTACAATACTGACAGGGTTTGTATGTTAAATCCCCCTTTTTTCATTTGAATCAAATTATGTTTCAGAAACATTATAATAGAATGCTTTGCCAAAAATCCTACATAAGAACAGAGAGAGTTTCAGCACTGAAATATTCTTGGTTCAGTTCACTGCTCAGTGTCTGGGACTTCTGGCATTATTAGGAGTCATAAATAAAATTAATGTCATTTAATGATGAGGTGAAAAGGTGAAAAGCTCTCCTGAACTTTGGTAAGCTGGAAAAGTTCTAGTTCTCAGTTAAAACATTACTGATCGAATCCCAAAAGCAACGACATGAAGATCCCCACAGATCCCCACAGGAAGGTTCTCACTGGTTTCTATAGGTCTCATTTGAGGCACTTCAGGCCATTGCCACATGAGCTTTTGGCAGCTACTTTATGCACTTTGAACTTTAAAATATTATTTAAGTATTTGATGTGGCCTTAGCACATGGCTCTGTGTTCCCAAATCCTTTTGACATTTGCTTGCACTGTTTTCAATGCTAGCACTGCCTCTGAAGTGGAGAATCTCAAGACATTGAATTACTCAGCTCTCAGAAATATCTGTCCAAAATTCATTTCTCTGAGACAGAGACAGTCTGACAGCCTAAATATGGAAAGAGCTGGGAAAAGGGAGAAAAAGCCTTTATTAATGTTCTATATTTGTGTTCACTTAGTTACCCTACCAAAACATTTCTGATTGACTGGTAAGCGAATATTTTTAGCAACTATTTTAGAAAACTAAATTGAGTTCAGCAACCTGTTTCTGGTGAAGTGTTACAAAACTATAATTTCAGTGGATGTGTAATGTCATTTAGACTAGAAGCTTTACTGCAGGACAACTAATTCAGCTACTGCAGGGCAACTTTGTAATCTCTAGCTTATTGTATTATAGACTTTAAAACCTCTACAATTCAAGATCTGCGTAAAGGTAAAGTTAAGGATGTGAAAAATTCTGAACAGAAGGAAAACTGTGAGCAAAGTTCTCTTTGGCTACTGATGTTTAAGTCCTTGTGCTGGCTCTTAAAAGAAATTTATAACATAGAGCAAGTTTCCAACTATTGCAAAAATACTTACCTGTGGATAGAAACACATTTGCACCATATGGTACCAGTGGTAGTACTAAATATGCAGCTAGTAGGTCGTGATCCCCTGATAAAGTAGATTTTCTCCTTGATTTTGAATTATTGAAGGAAAAAAAACCAAATGTGAATTCAGCAGAGCATGCCTGTAGCTACCAGGAGCCAGTACAGCTCCTGACAGTCCTCACCCAACACAGATGAAGAGCAGTCCACTGGAAACATTATGGTCACAGGGCAGAAGCAATGTGAGACATAAACAAGTTTCTTGAAAGAGGGTCAGTTTTCCCTTTGAGAAGAGTCCAAAACTCCTGGGCTTCCCTGGCAGGTTTGGTGAGTCATTGTTTAAGATACCCGAGGGGAGAATTTATTGCTTGACAGAATACAGTTTAATCTCCCTTCCACACTGTGTGCAGTGGGGTGCCAGGCTGGGAGCCTCCAGCACAGCACGGCGTGTCTGGCGGAAGGGCTGGGGGGGCTGGGGGTTAAAGCCACTGCTGGGGGCTCTGACCCAACACACACCGAGTGCTGTAACCCCAACACCCCCAGGTCAGTGCTGGGAGCACTTGGCACCCACAGGGCTGAGGGGTGGGTGTCAGTTAGAGGAGTGAAAAAATCAACATCTCAGCATTGCAGTCCAGACTGCTGGCTTTCCCAGGCCCTGTCTAGAAATCCTCTGTCTAAAAAAGGGGGGAAAAGGTATCCATAGTACCCAATGCAGCATAAAAATGCATTTAAATAGGAGATACTTTGCCTTTGTTCTGCGGACTAGGAATAGGGAGAGTGCTGTTCCATGTCACTGATCTGGGGTTTTTTTTATTTATTATCCAGCACACTCCAGCATCCAATATTTTTTATCGCTGCGTATCAGTGCAGAGTTAATTAATGATGTTAGACATGACTAAAGCATTGCTCACTAAAACAGGTGGGGAAAAGCCCTTTTCCTGACTTGCATAATGCAGCTGTCCTTATCTGCAGGAGAGGGTAAAGCAGTGCAGAGAGAATCCTTAAAGAGCTAAAGTGTGCTGCACTCTGCTTACCAGAAACATTTTGCTTGGTGTCTTGAAGACACACAGTTAAATGAAACGCTATTAAATACTCTTTCAGAAAGCACCCAAGGGTATGAAATAAATTTCTGTGATAGAAAACTGTAGAAATCAAAAGGTTCTGATGGTGTCCCAAGCTTTCCATATGTGTCCTGGGCTGTCCAGACCAGATACTCCCCTCCACTCACTGCAAGGATAAGCTTTCTCCTTAGCCTCCATTTCTCACACCTTATATTTGCACCATTATCCCAAATCATACCCTCACACCTGCCTCTTTCCTATTTATTTTTCTGCCCCTTGTTTCTCTCAGTAATGCCATGACTCTGCAGAATGATGTTACAGAGCAGCTCTGGATTTCTAGGGATCCAACCACAAAACATTTGACAAGTTGCTAACTGTTATTTCTGCAGCCTCTCCAGACCCCTGTATTATCAAATCTGCTTGTATGCAGTGGAGTTTCCTTTGTGTTAAGAAAATGTTCTCAGCTCTTCTACTACTTTGCAGATAAAATTATTATACTTTGCAGAATAAAATTATTATTCTTCCACTCTGGCATTTCAATATATGCTACAGCTGCCCATTTTGATATTCCAGACAAAGGATTATTGCATCAGGTGGCAGATCTGCACTGGGAACAGATGTGGTGCTGAAAGCAGCCGCATTGCTTGAATAAATATTCCGTGACAAATGAAAAGAAATAATATTAATGGTTACAGAGTGTTTTTCAAGCAAAAATCGAAAGGTTTTGCAAGGAGAGATCTGGCAGAGCTCTGTACACACTGCAGGGAGGAATTACAGCATTTGACACCATGATGGACTGAGCATCATTAAACCATCAGCACGAAGAATTACCCCCAGTCTGGTTTTGTAGCACTGAACCATTCTGTCTTCAGTGTTAAGCACCTGATGATGCAGCAAAACTGGCATCAAAGAGAGTCAAGTAATAAATTTGTTTTTATTCCTGTATCTACTGGATATTCTTTCCAGATAGCAGTGGAGCTACAGAATATCCTTGTTGCACACATTTATAAACACTCCCTGGCTTTGTAAACAGTTATCCTGCCACTCAAAATTATTTGTGACACAACATAAAAAAATAAACTAAAGACATACGTGTCTTAGAGAGAACTTCTTGTGCCATAAATTCAGTGACTAAGCTTTGAAAAGTAAATATCTATCTTCTTTAAAATAAATGTTTCTTTTCATCCATCTTACACAAACCCTTCATTCGGCATCAGGACTACCATAAACACGCATTGCTGAAAAATGCTGAGTAAAATAGATTATTTTAATGACTAAAGCCCTGCAGAAATGAGCTAACACTCATTAAAACACTGCCCTTTAAACAACGGAGTATCCAATTTTATGACAATACCTTTATTAAAATAATTAATCCAAAATGAAGGATCATATGTTTCCCTCTGGCTATTAAGTAAAGGTTTAGCCTCATTCCTGTTAAGATATGGGCTTGTCAGTCTTCTCTCAGATACATCTTCCACACACAGAGGGAAAACTTCCCATCCCCACCACTTTCACCAGAGCACATTAACTTCCCCAGGTACTGCTTAACTCCAGTGGAAATCAGCAGAGCAGTATTGACCTCCCATTTTAGAGCTTAAGTCCTCCTGCTCCTGCAAAACCTGGAATATTATCCACTGAAGTCAGAAACAAAAATCTTGTAACTTAATTGGTAGCAGGATAAGGTCCCAAGAACTCCAGGACGAAGACACAATTGGTTTGACCATCTTTATGTATTAAGATTTTGAAATCTTTTTATAAAATAATAAAAAAGAACATTAAAAAAAATCTACATGCTACAGGTCAGCCCCCCAAAATTATTCTTAAAATGTTATTGAAGTACAAAACGTAGATTTATGTTACGTAAGAACAACCTCTGCATCTCTGTCTCAGGGATACCAAATTAGATCACTTATTTTCCATGGGAATGCTTGCAGGGATTAGGTCTGTCAATGCTATTGGATTCTGCTTTCTGCAAGGCTTTAGGCCTGGTTTGTCTTCCACCTTGTTTTAGTCTTCCCTCCTCTTCCCCTGCCCAACTGGTCCAGCTCTCTAGACTTGATGCCCTCAAGTTAATATTTACACAGAATTCATATAAATCACTGGATATGTGGCAATCTGCCCCTCTGCCCACTGGCAGGTGAATCTTTGTGCAAAGTTCAATGGCACAGGTGACAGCAGGGAATGTACAATTAAACATCATAAGGGCATTTACTGACCGGTACAGTGTGTTTTGTCACATGGGGAGGACCAGATTACTTCAAGGTGATTCATTTTCCTGCTGAAAAAGCCTCCCTTAAGCCCTGGTTTAATCCTTTTATTTTACAAAAGGGTGTCAGTTACCAGTCATTTACAGACTTCTGGTTTTTAGAATAACGTTGTTATCAAAGCAGGTGAAACCACACAAATTCCTGGGTACTTCCTCTGTAGGGTTTTGATTTGCATGTCAGGGGAACAAAGGGAAATCTCACGGAGTGCTGTCTTGCAAAAAATAAACACACAAAGCAATACACACAAAAAAAAAAACCAGTGAAAACAACTTGAGTTGACTATTCAGCCTCAGGGATGGCAGTAACTCCTGTCTCAGGTGGTCAGAGAGCTCCAAGGAAAAACCAGTTCAGGACTGAGCCACTGGGAATCTCAAAACTATTGAAATCAAAGACAGGAGAGAAGGGATAATTGCAGCAAGGCAGCTGGGCACGAGGTTGTTATACCAGAGGTGTTTGCAAACTCTTGTGCCATGGCTCGAGCTGGTGGTCATGAGGAAAGCACTGAGTGAAGTTACACAGGTCCTAAAACATTGAGGTTCTCAGGGGCTTTAGGGCACCTGCCTGTGAAATACTGACATGAGCAAAAAGTGAGGAGTTTTTTCACATCTTTACTAAAGTGCTTCTCCACTGACCACTGCAAAATTTTGAGATATTTTGACGGGCTTTTGGTTGATCCCTAGAAACTAGAAAGCAATAACCATCTGTGTCTGAGTGACAAAAGAGAAAAACTGCACTGGAAGTTCATACAGTACCTTTGTGTTATTCAATTCCATGCTGGAACCTGTTATCTACTAACAGTGGCCAAGAGAGATGTCTCAGTTATAAGTCAGAAGAGGAGAGAACAACACCAAAACATGTTCAGTAATTACAGATATGTAAGTGTAATAAATGAACTGTCAGCAGACTTAGATTAGCCTTTCTAGACTCCCTCAATCAGCTAATCTTTTGCAAAACAAGAATAAGCTTGGCCCATGTTCTTTCTAGTTAGAAAGTCTGTAATTCTTCTGCACAGAATAATAAAAATAGTGCCATGTTTCTGTCCCTGACTACTGTCAGTTTTAGGCACCAAACAAGATTTTTATCAATACTGACCTTGATTTTACACTGTTGGTGTAAGGGCAACACAATTTAAGTACAAATGAGCTCTCTCAATGGTGTAAGTCAGCACAGCTATTCTGGACTGAGGGGTGGTGCCCATGTTAGTTCTGGGGTTAAATACACGGGCACTGTCCCTGTAGAAATGTAAATATTGCTGCTTTGCCTTGCAATTGCTTGTAATATAAGAAGGTGTAGCAAGTCTGGGTTTTAGTAAAAGGATCTGATCCCAACCTGCAGTCCTTGAAGGGAGATAAAGTCCTGGGTTTTTTTTCGCCATTCTAGATAAGTTTCTATTTTTGGAGCCTTTAAAAAGCTCTCAAATGTGAGACATGGTGAATGAAATTCATGCTGGTCTCATACAAGTGATTTGTTCATCTGCAATATGAGGACACTGCTGTAGGTAGTCAGTTCTAGGACAGAAATTCCTCACAACCAGGACACTTTGGAGCACTGACCAACCTTATCTAGTGAAAGGTGTTCCTGCTCACAGAAGTTATTCCTTAATTGATATTTCTCCTTCCTCAAAAGCAAAGTGCTAAACACACACACACACACAAAAGGTACCCACAAACACAGGAGCAGTGTGTTGATGACTGCTGGATTCCTGGGATTGTCTCCAACCTGGAAGCCCAGGCACTGCTGGGATGTGCATCCCAAGGCATCCCACAGAGACACCAACATGCCAAATAACCACAACCAAACACTACCCAGTGTTATTTATTTGTAGTAGTTATAATATAACCATCTTTCCTTTCATCTTCTTTATTGAATTTTATCCTGTTGATTTTGGATGGTTTCCTATTTCTCAAGATCTATTTTCTCTGTTTTCTAACTGGTTTTTTTCAGTGTTATCCTAATCCTCTTCTCCAAAAGGCCTGCACTCCCTCATGGCTTGATCAGCTCGTAATTTTATAACCATACTCTCTATTTCACCCTCTACTGTTTGTAAACTGTGGGGTTTTTTTCCTATATTAAATAAGTCCGGGGGAATGTAAACAAACACTGAATGCTGGAAGGGAAGGAATCAGGAGCTCTAGAAATCCAATTAGCTTTAAAACCTTGGCACGCTGACTTGGCGAAGCATGTGGTGAAAGGGACCGCAAAAGCTTAAATAAAGGACGACCACATCCTCTCCCTGAACTCGTAATAACTCTGGGCAGAGGCAGATTGTTACTTCTAGAGGGAGGATTTTACTGCCTGTGCACACAGTGGCTGTAACTCAGCCCTGAGCAGCTTCCAGCAGTCCCGGCTGCTGCAGGAATCACAGCAGGAACACGGGGGAGAAGAGGAGGTTCCCAGGCAGCCCCTCAGCAACTGCCAGAGCCAAGCACTGGGAATGTCTCTTGTTGGTCACAGCACAAACCTGATCAAGTTCCCATAGGAAGGCCGAGTTCCACCATAAAACACATTTCTTGCAAAGTAATACTCATTTTTGCACAAGCTGTCTTCTGGAGGATAGATTGAGGGTTTGATATTGGTGAAGCTTCCTGTTTTTCATGTTTCAGAACTCATCTGTTATCACTTGGTATTTTGCAATGCTTTTCCTCACTACAGCAATTTTTAATACATTGGAATTTTTTCTTGTGAAGAACATTGAAAAGCTCGGATTTAACTCCAGTCAGAATGGCTCCAAACTGCACCAGAATGAAATCTCCTCTGAAATAAGAGGAAGTGTTTGCCTTCCAAGGTTACCTTAACTATTTGAATCTGATCAGACCCTGTAACTGAACTTCCAAATACTCATTACCAATTCCAAACTATTTCTATTTTGTGGTGTTCAAACAAGAAGGTGGTTTTCTCTCCAGAATACCCCCACTCAGTGTCTCAAGTATGGAAACATTTCATTTTCTACCTGTTACCAGTAGGGACAAGAAGTTTCAAATTTTGTGTCTTTTCTTGTATCTTGAAACAACAAAGCCCTGCAGTGGAGCTCTCTTATCACTGTCACTGGAATATCCACTGACACACAGCACAGCACTCAAACAGCTCCAGACCATTGTATTGCAATAAAACCAGATGCTGAGTTTGTTCCAGAAAACAGAACACACATTCCCCCCAGGTTGGCTCTCATCTAAGAAAAAACAGATTTAGAAGATGTTGAAATGTGATCCTTTTGTAACATGCAGAAAGCATCTGACAGCCCCAAACTCATCCGTAGCGACTTTTTCTCCTTAAATCCAGGGAATTCACAGTACTCCTGACCAACTATTATCTAACCTAAGTGTAAAATACTGAAGAAAACTGATGATTCTGTGAGTAATTATAGGTCTCTTCCCAGGTCCCTTATGGGCCTTTCAAGGACTTCCACTGACTCCCATGGACTCTGAATTTTAATATCTCAGTAATGCTCTGGGCAGATATTCTGCAGAATGTGTGAGGACAATTAATATGCCAAATTGTTTCCCACAATGTTCCCTAATTTCATTAGGATGCTTCACTTGCTTTCTCTGTAATAAAAAATTCATTATAAAAAACCAGTCAGACCCTAAATGCAATTAGCTTCTACTAAATAAAATGCTTCTTAATTTCTCTTTATGATATTTGCTGTTGCTCACTGTATTTCCAAACTGAACAGCTCTATCAAGTCTGGTGGGTGTGGTCAAAAAACCGATCAATCAAAACTCATCAAGTCAATTGATTTTCTGATATATTTCCTTTTCTCCATTTACTCTCCATGAGTAAAAGTCAGTAAAGTGCAGGAATCATGAAGAATTACTCTCAACGTTGTGATTTAAACCCTCCATTTTAACCCTAAGGGCCAGCATGTTCCTTAGCTCTGAGGAAATGGGCAGAACTAGTTCTAGCTGGCAGCATTCCCAAACACTTCCAGGAAAAAAATCTATGATTCTGGATTCACGGCACCTTTCCTGACTCTTGCTGATGAGGAAGAGTCTCTCCAGAGAGCTGATGCCAGCTCAGCATCTTATTTTCTCTCCTGATCCACCTCAGGGAGCAGTTGGCACCCTGGGGAGGGCAGTGGATGTCTGAGGAATGGCACACACTCCCCTCTGGATTCCTGTGGAATGGGGAGGCTCCAAGCCCAGCGCTGCCATCCAGACACGCTGTGCCGTGGCACGGAAGAGCTGTTTACCCAAGAGGATAGGAAGTGCTTTTGCATAGTTTTGAGGCCCAAGCTGTGACCTCCACATTGCTGTGAGATGGGAAATATGCCCAGAATCACATCCCTCCCCACTCAGGCATCTGACAGCCACAACTGACTCAGCTGCTTTCACAGCCCAGCGAATCTGAAACCACTCCAGTGGAAAAGGTCAGGATGTGACATCCAGGCTGGGGTGTTGACTTCCATTTGAAAAAAATCTTCAAATCATACTCCAGTTCTTGACATAAGAATTCTCCCCTGAATCCCCATTCCTCGATTACTTGAGCCAGACACAAAGGTGTTCACCCAGCTGGATAACTCTTGAATGCCTGTTTTGCTTTAAAAATGTCACACGTTCTTTTCTACAGCCCCATTTGCTAAATTTAGCTGATCAATTGCCTGCTTTTAACACTAAAAGTACAGGAAATGGATTTCCCAGTGGGAGTTTTTCATTTGGGCAGCCTCATTAGGGAAATTATTTGGTTGTGAACAGAAGAGGAAGCACTCATAGAACAACCTTTTATTTTGGGTTACACCACTTTTATGAATGCCTGAGATATGGGAAATTCCACAACTAACTTCAGGTTTCAAGAGGTTTGTACTATGATAATAATCTGGATAAATGGAGGGATGTTTGGGAGCTGCCAGAGAATGTATTAAAAGTTATAAGGTATGTCTGGACAAACAATCCTCCTAAAAAAGCCTGGGAAACATTTAGATCTTTTCCTTCAAAAATGACCTTTGAAAGCCCTTTGCAGAAATATTCCATGTGTGCCTTGTACAGCAGCTTGGACAGCGGAGGTTTGATCTGTCACTGGGATCAGTAGTGTTAGTGCAGCAGGTGTGTACCCATAAACTGTGTTTTGGTTTTTAATGCTACATTAATTATGTGCTCCTTTGACTTTCAGATGATGAAGAGCATTTCATTATTAGCTTTAAAAGTAACGGAAGTAACATTTTAGTAGCAAGAGACCAAAAATGAAAGGAATGTGCATAAAAGATTTTTAATACACAGGTTCTAACAGTGACCTGATGTTAACATTTGCCCTTCCTAGAGGCAGACAAACCAGTTATCTCAGATATTGTTTCTGCTTGTTTTCTGTGGACAGGATCTCTATTTTCAGCTCTGAAGCCACCTGAGACGATCTTCAAGGTGATTTTTTGGCTTGGCTACTTTAACAGCTGCTTGAATCCCATCATCTACCCTTGCTCAAGCAAAGAGTTCAAGAGGGCTTTTATACAGATCCTGAAATGCCAGTGCCACCGTCGAAAGCAGCTGGGGTGGTGGCCCTACAGCTACAGAAACTGGAATCGGTGCTCCTTTGAACACCACAGGAAAGACTCTCTGGAGGACAGCGGGAGTTTCCTGAGTGGCAGCCAGAGGACATTATCCTCGGCATCTCCCAGCCCGGGGTACGTGAGCAAAATCACTCACCCACACCTGGAGATGTGCACGTTCCAGGAATGGAAAAACTCCAGCTCCCTGCTGAGCCCTTTGCAGGATGGCAGTGGGCAGAAGGAGCCGTGCCAGTTCTTCACCTTCAGCCTCTTCTCGGAGCGCAACGGACACGTCCCTGCCGGCAGCCAAGGCTCCAGCAGCAGGGACTGCGAGCCCACCTGTGACACCCTGAACTGCAGAGCTGCCTGTGGAGCAAACACCACACTGGAATGAACGGATCCCAACCAGTCTGTTCCCTCTGGACACCCACCTGTCTGACGTTAGGCCCAGGCGAAGAAATGGACCTGTGCGTGGTTTCTCAGGATAGCACAGGAGGAATCCAGGGAGGAACAGGCAGATTTATGTCACAGGAGTGGCCAAGTGCAGGGACTAACAATATTCCCAGTCAATCTCCAGAGAAACTACTGAAGCATGAACAGAATGCAGGGAAAGTGCTGCACAAACCCAGGGAAGTGCACATCCAATTATTGAGTGGCCAAACACATCTGTATATAGAAAGAATGTATAAACAGAGGGGTGGGCAGGGGCCATGTGTGAGTGGGTGGGTGTCCAGCTGTGCCAGCCGTGTGAATGGATGTCTGGAAGTGGCAGTGAGCAGTGCAGTCCTGGTTGTTCCTCTGCAGGTCGCCCCTGACTTTGCCTGTAATTCCGTATCGTTGCTGTACGTCACTGTACATTTGCACTTTAGAAACTGAAAACAATGTCAACGATTAAAGTAATTTCTCAACCATTTAAACACTTGCACCTATTACTGTAGGACTGGAATTCAGCCAAGTTCCCTTATCACCGTTTTCACTTCAAAATAAAACACTGATAGCCATTAAGTTTGCCATTGTGACTCCTAGGATGCAGTGGCTTCCTGATCACCAGCATTTATAACTCCTCTATCCTTTACCAAGCTCTTCTTTGTAAGTCTGAAAACACCAGCAGTGGTGAGGGCTCATAATCTGCATTTCAGCACACCAGTAAGTGTCCTCCAAACATACAGGCTACCAGGGGATCTGATTTCTAAAAGCAACACTCATAAATCACTCCAAACACCTCATAAACAGTGTCGTGGGCACAGCACAAAAGAGCAGCGACCGCCGGAGGCCCGAAACGAGCCCCAGGACAAATGTGCTGAGCCCTTGGTTCTTTGAGCAGGCTTTGAAAACAGCACTGGACATTTAGAGGCTTTACTTTGCCTCTCAGATAAGAAGAGTCAAAACAATGGAGTAGTGGAAGTATCACTTCATTAATATTTTCCAGCTCAGTATTACAGTTCTTTAAGAGAATTCCTGATGATATCTTCTGGGACTTTTTAGGTCATGTTTGGAAGCTATTTTCACTCTTGCAGTTAAGTGTGAATCACAGAACTGACTGATTTTTTCACATGAAGTGGTACAAACCGTGACAATTAGTATTTACTCCTTTCTCCAACCGAGCCTTTCCTTACTAGGAATTGTAGGGACCTTTTTTTAAAGCTTGAAACAGGGAACAAACCATAAAGTGATGTACTAAAAGCTCTTGGGGACAATTTAACAATGCTACATCCCAAAGGAGAGCCATTTCCTTAGCTAAATTTTGAGTCACACAACTTGAATAGTGTAAAGTAAATTCAATATCCATGTTTGAGAAAGAAGTGATACCGCAAGGTTTGAGAATAAACAGCATTCTATTACTTTAAATCCTTTAACTACATAGCTCTGAGAGACTGATAATTATTTTAATTAGTTTCTAGTCCTAACAAAGGCTGTGTAATCTCTGATCATCATTTAAGCTCCTTAAACAATGCTATAATTCTCTAACTATGGATGAAATCTGAGAGGCTTTTATCCCATACTGAAGCACTGTAAGTACTTATCATCTTTGTGCATTTTTACATGTAATGTTACAAAAACCACATGGAAAGTTCCCTTACTGCTTCTTTCAAATCCATAAAAAGAGAATTTCAGCCATTTTAGTACTGGAAAAACCAGCATTCTGTAAACATTATAACTGATCAGGAGAAGATATGCATTAACAACATGTTCAGTGCCTCAAAACACACAAATCGTGTACCCAAATCCTCAGAGAGCAAAAGATCCCAAAACACGTCCTGCACTACCTGATACACACTTCAAACAGAATTTTAGTAAACTGTGTCTCATTCTTAAAATTAAATTTTAATACTGGAGAGCCTACAGCTTGCAGGTGTAGCAAATATAAGGTGAGAAGATTCCTAACATTTCTAAAGAATACATTTCTCCAAGCTCTTTGTAGCCATGAGTGATATTATATGACTGCTCTCTTCTTCTAAGCTGTTTACTTTTTGTCTCATGAATTCCCCTTTTGGCACAGCAACACTGTACCAGTGGGGTCCCATCCATACAAATATATCAACTATGGAAGACTTCAAAAGTCCATTCATATTTGCTCATAAGTTGCCAACAATACCTATTTCACCTCCAGTCACAACTTCACTGGAGGTACAGGCAATAAAACTGATTGTATAAAATGGGGAAAAACCCCACATGGATCCGAAGGAGGGACTACGAAGATTACAGAGGAGAAAGTCTGATATGCCGCCTTAAAATATTAAACTTTTGCAGGACCACGTGACTTCTCCAGAACAAATCTATTCTAAATATCTTTATTTTTACCACTGGAATATTTTACGACCTCCACCAGGCAAAGCTGGCCCAAATGAGGCCATACAAATCACCCTCTTCCTTTTGTTAGTCCTTCATTTGTTGCAATGTTTTCCTTTAAAGGAAAAACTATTTGGATCAGGGCATGATCATAAACCCTTGTGGGACAAGCCCATATTAGCCCATATTTTAGTACAGCCAAAATTATTTTGCCAAGCAGAACATCCAGCATCCAGTGCAGTGGCACATGATGATGGTCTGTCCAATGCACTGACACTCCATCATGGGCACTTTTTACGCTTATTAACAGGCCTTCTGACGAGCCCCAAATAGATTTGCCTCCAAAGAAGAGTTGCTGCCATTTAACACAGGAGGTGTTCATAAAACACCGTGAATTTCTCCACGTTAAGCTGCTGTGTGGAGCTTAATCCCTACCTAGGGGCTTGTCCAAAGCCATTCAGTGGAGAGGTACAGCTGTAATGGCTCAGGGAGCTTTGGTACAGCCCAGCTGCAGACAAATTAAACCCATTAGGCTTCAGTGCACTCAGCGATCACAAAAGTGCTGCTTATTTTTGAAAAGTGTTACGGTAAAATCAATCCAGCTGAATGAGCCTGAAACTGTAAAGCATTCTACATTCTTTACTCTCTGGAAATGCAGTTTTCTATTATCTTTCCAAATGTGACAGGGAGAGAAGAGGGGGCATTAATATTATAAAGTACATCTCCAGTTTGAAAAAATGTCAAAACAGAGACTTCTGATTCAACAGATGAGGTCTGAGCTCTCAGTTTCTGCGCTTGACTTTCCCCTCACACAAATGAGCATAAAATTGCATGGCACAGGAGATAATCATCCACGGAAATATTGGTATACTGGCATCCACTTCTTCCTTATCCCACAAATTAACCAGCTCATTCCCACGAGAATACACTGGATTCTGCTTTGATACACCCAACAGCAGATTTGCTCACCTCCTTCCCAACCCCCCTGCAGTGCCCTGGCTCACATCCTCCATAGGGCAGAACACGGTCCCATGGGGATGGTGCATCCCACAAACACCAGTTTCACCCTGAAGTGCTCAGAAAGAAAACACTTCAGAATAAGGTCACACACCATGCTAGTTTATGTCACTTTAAAGGAACACAAAAATGTTTCCACCCACTATGATTTTTTGGGGACTGGGAGTGGTCCCAGTTAGTCGTGCAAAAGGTAAGTTGTGATTCCCAAGAGCAGTGAAAACACCTGAAGTGGTGACATAGAGGTCAGGGCACCAACCTGGGAAAATCCTGCCTCTACTTTAATGGTTTTGTGTTTCACCTCCCTAAACAGAGGGAAGGGAACCAAATTAGAGCCTTTTCTCAGGAGACCTTTCTAAGGCTGTCCCTTGATCAATCCCAAAGCCTGCTGGCTCCTAACTTGCACATGCTGACTGGTGAGTCAGCACACACAGCCCAGGGCCAGCCAAGCCACATGGGCCCGTTTGCCCACTAAGATTTGGCAAAGTGGAACAGGACACGTGGGAGGATAATGTGGGAGACAAATGAGAGTGCTGAAAATACCAAGAGAAAGGGAGAAGTGCTGAAAGATAAAGGTTGTAAATCCATAAATCAGTGTTTATTCATGTTAATGCCAGGACAACTTGTTGTGCTGTGTTTATCTGGTTGGTCTGTCACTACAATGAGGAGAAAAACAAAGTGTCCCTGCAGGAAAGAGCAGGGCTATTATGTCAATTAATGTCACCACAACATGGACAGATGCTCCTGCACCCCTCTGTTCTTATGCCTGGGTTGTAAACACAGAAGGTTTCCATTTCTACTCAGTTATAATCCATGGCTTCATTTTCTCCTAGAATAGCCAAAATTTCCTTAATTAAAGTTGCATTTTTTATTTATTCCTCCAAGGAGATTACAAACTCATCTCAGGCACTTCACTATAGAAGTATAAGAAGCAGCGAGGTGCAGATGAAAGCCATGGGTAGGGCACGAAATCCCACCAGATGAGTCAGCGACAACACCATGGCAAATCCTGCTTTAGAAACTCTAATGATAGGATTGGTGCAGTTTTGAGCTCAAAAGAGGCAAATTCATTTACACCTGCTGAATAATGAGCATCTTCCCTCTGCAAAATATGTAAAGAGTGATAAAGGCAAAGAATTGCCTTCGTGAACAGGCTGAACCTTATTTTGTACCCTATGAACTCAAGTTAAATCGGTGAAAATAATGGAAGTTTGGAAAAAATAGTGGGATATGGTTGTTCAGGCAAGTGGAAGGTGACAGGGAAAGGAAGTCTGGAGTTGTTACTGGAAATTTTTTATGTCAAAACATCTCAGCTTGACCAGTGAAGAATATGCTCCCTATCTAGTAATTCTCACAATCTTTATAGGACTCAAGCCAAGACTTAAGAGAGAAAGGATGTTCAAAATTAATAAGAATTGCTCACAATTTCTTTAATAAGTCAGCCCAAAAAGCGGAGGTAGTAAAACTTTAATTTATAGCTGTGATTAAAAAGCCTTTAATTGCCTATTTCACAATTTCCTTTCAAATGTTCTTTGGGAAGCACAATAATCTGATTCCACTGAGACTTGTGTGCACATGTTTAATTCTAGTGAAGAACCTGAACTTTCTATGACCTCTGGAAAATGGTAATTATTTTTTCTGTGCTTGATTTGTTGAGCTTTGGTTTCTGCACTGTGAAGATCAAAAAAGCTGTCCCAAGAAGTAAATTTAACATATGGTCTGTGTGATTGTGCAACAGTTCATCCCTCTCCTGGTCAGCTCAGAGTCCAGTCCCACAGCACTGTAACACAGCAGAGATTCAGCCCTGAATTCACTAAACTGGATCTGTTTCACAGGGAAATTGGAAAATCCAACATCGCCATCTATTGGGTTGCTATTGCGCAGGAGAGTCACAAATACTCTAATCCAGCAAAGAGTTCCCTGGATTTTATATACCACAAATCCAACCTCTTAAGCAGCAAGACTTTTCCCTAAGGCAGCAAGAGCACTTGGATCTCCTTGGATTTCTATTGTCTCGTCCAGAAGTGATGTGTCCCCAAAGCTCGGCTGGTTTTGTCAAAGCATTGTTTTTTTACAGTAAAGCCAACTGGCAAGTTTACAGAAAAGCAGGTTAACCAGCTGTATGTACTCTGCTGCTGCCTTTAAAAATCCCCTCCTTAAACTTCCAAGTGCTTAAAGTGGCAATTTGGTTTCCACTGAAATTCGTTTGTCTTGAAGTTTTGTTCTGCTTTATTTTTGAACAAGAAGAGGCAAAATGCTGTTCAGGCAACTCAGTCTTCATTTCCAAAATAATTCACCTCTCCTGCAAAACACGAGTTTAATAATAATAATAATAATAATAATAATAATAATAATAATAATAATAATAATAATTTCCAGAACGCTGAGTTTTAGCAACACAAATTGTTACAAACTGAAACAAACAAATTACCGTTCACTGGTTCTAAGTACACAATTCATTTAATTCATCATTTAATAATTCATCTAATTCGTTTAATTGCTCCATTCTTTATTAGTTGACCTAGTCCCCATCCTTTGGTTCTCTTATCGTTCGTCCTTAGGCAGAGCGTGTCCAGCTTTCAGGCTGTCAATCCCCTCTGCATCTTCTGGTTACGCCTTTGAAGGACCGCACATTTAAGATCCCAGCTGTCCAACATTCAACCCCCTAAGCTGCGTCTACCGAAGCTCAGCAAAGCCAGTCCAGAGAAACTCAAAGCCTCGGTGGCTTAAAGATCAAACCGACAAGGGAAACCCAGCCACCTGTTGCTATTAATTAAAAACACAGCCAAGTTATGTCCCTTCCACCGCCCTTCCCTGCGCTCCCCTCGCGCTCCCTCAGGCCTTTCCCGCGCCTCCGCCCCACAGGACTACAATTCCCAGCAGCCCCCGCGCGCCGCCTCCTCGCCCATTGGTCGTCCCGGCCGGAAGCGGCGCCCGCGGGCGCAGGGGGCGGGGCGGCGGCCGGAAGCCGGAAGCGCTGCCGGCGCAGGTGAGTGCGGGCCGGGGCTCGGGGGGTGCTCGGGGGGCCCGGCGGGGCCGGGAGCGGAGGCTGCGGGTCCGCCCCGCACCCCAGAGCCGGGACAGCGCCCCGGTGCGCCCGGGAGCCGCCACAGCACCCCCCGAGTGGTGGGGCGGAGGCCGCGGGGCGGGCGGGGTCGGGGTGGGCGACGAGCGCTGGGGGCTGTGTGTGGGCTCAGGCTCTCGGTGCTGGGCCGGGTTTGGGAATCTCAGCTCCGGAATTCACTTACTCACGGCCGCAGTGTCCCGGCCCGCGTGTCGCTGCAGCGCGTGGAGTCGTGGATAAGTTGTTCCCTCCCTGGAGGGTCACAGTTTCTCTCAGGGGATGCCAAAAGTACTTTTAAGTACTTTAGAGGCTTATAAACGTGTATAAAATAAATAATTGAGTTAAGTAAGGTCAATATGTGTAAACATCTAAACGGGAGGTGTCAGGATGGACCAGGCTCTGCTCAGGGGTGCCCAGCAATGGCACAAGAGGCAGCGGGCAGGAACTGATGCCCAGGAAGTTCCACCTGAACGTGGGGAAGAACTTCTTTCCTGTGCAGTGACTGAGCACTGGAACAGATTGCCCAGAGAGGGTGTGAGGTCTCACCCACTGGAGATATTCCAGAACCATCTGGACACATTCCTGTGCCCTGTGCTCTGGGATGGCCCTGCTTGAACAGGGGGGTGGGACCAGATGAGCCTCTGTGGTCCCTTCCAACCTGACCCACACTGTGATTTGTTTGCTGACAAGTGTTTTATATGATGCTTATTGAGGGTTATTCCTTTCTCATCTCTAAATCCCCTCCCAGGAGTCCAGCATGGAAGAATTTAAAGATGCAAGTCCACCTGAAGAGCTGCTCAGTCACTTAAAGCTTTCTGACCAGAAATCTGCAGAGACTGACCCCAGAGATGCCCAGAACCCCCAGACCACTGGCAGTGGATGTGCCCCATCCCCAGGCCACGATCCCCCAGCAGATGAGTGTTTCCATGACTGTCAGGACTCCTTTGAGGCCAAGGAAGCTGTGCTGGATGATGAAGGGAATGTACAGAACGGTGGGAGCAGCTCGAGGAAGCAGACAGAACTGGATGAAGAATACTTGCTAGAACTAGAGAAAGATATGCCAGAGGAAGAGAAACAGGTAACCCAAAGCACCAAAGCTGAACATGAACAGGGAGATTTTCAGTGCAGCGTTTTCAAATGGTCTGTGACTGACACCAGAATGGACCTTTAGAGCCCTTTGGGGGTCTACTTTTACTGTTCCTAATTTCCTCTTTTAGGTAACAAATATTGCTGTAGCTTGCCTTGCTGCTCTTAATCCTCACATTCCATTGCAGATTTTTGTCTGCTTTGAGCAGGGAGTGAAGTGACTCAGAGATGACAGGAGACAAAAATCTCCCTGTTCCATGGAACTTAGTGTGTGTGCCTCCATTGTGTCCCCCAATCAGCTGCAAGGTGCTTTGCCAGAACTCACAGCAGGTTTGGGGATAGTTTTCCTGGAAGGCTGGTTTATGGAATCCAGCGAACTGGGATGAAATTTGAATGTATCCCTACATGGATTCCTTGAGCTTTGATCAAACCAAACGCGTTAAATGTGCGGGTTTGTTTACTTTCAGTGCAGTTACATTGGGCAAAACATTTAGGTGACATGGATAATGTTGTGGGGAGTAAGGAATGATGTCTTAGGGGAAGCCCACCAGCCTCTGGAATGGTGTTTACTCTCCTGTGAGGCTGTGTGAACCAGTTTTTTGACTCTCAGTCGGTGTCACTTGACAGCAGTTGGTTTTCAGGGTTCTAAGATATGGTCATCAATTAGGTAGTAAAAAGAACTTTTTTTGTTCTGACTTTGATAAAACATATTAAATCACTTTCAGGATTAGACTGTTCACATGAGTAATCCAGTGAATTTCTGGTGGTTATTTCTTGTGGCAGGTGGTGGAAGGATTTCTACTGATGTAAGGATTTTTTTCTGGTTTTTTTTCAACTTCACTTGGCAAATATTGGGAGATAAAGATGCTACGTTAAAACCTGTGTCCCAACATAGAACTCCCCTCTGGCTCCCTGTCCTGGTGTTTAACTACACTCATACTGGAAACATTTGTCCTGTATTTGATCAGAATTTCTTTTATTGCAACTCCAGGCTCCTGACCATCTTGGGACCCTCTGGGAAGTCAATGGCTTGTTGTTGTTGTTGTTGTTGTAGGAGAGAGTTTGTTTAATTTTGAGATTTTTTTTTTCTGCAAAGAGGACACACCAAAATAGGGCACTCTCCAAATGCAGCTCTCAGGTGCTGAACAGGGGGCAAGAATCACTTTCCTTGACCTGCTCATCACACAGTAAACATCTCCTTGCCCTTGTGCCTTTTCCAGTTTAGACTGAAGAGTCCCTTTTTTCTCCTTGTATTTATTGCCTGCACAAGGAGCACTGTCATCATGAGTCACCCTGGGGCTGCTGCAGCAGCCTGGAACTTGAAGGCAGCTCGAGAGTTTCATAGAAAAAATGCTAAAAATTGGGAGGAAATTATGTCATAGAATGAAACCCCAGAAATTCTCGAGCAGCAGGCCTGGAAATTGGGTGTCTTAATTTTCATGTTGCTCTTGTTCCCATTGTATGGTTGGATAATCATTTAATTTTGCACCTCGAGCTTTGCCTTCTGTCAAAGGAGCAAAAGAATTGGGACTGTTGAATCTTTGCATTCAGCTTTGTGGAGCTCCACTGAAAGGTGCTATGGGAGTGCAAAATAGCAACTGATGAAAGCTGGAAAGATTTCCTTGGAGAAAGTATTGAGGCAGCTGCAGCTCTCATCTTTCTGTAGGTTTATTTCCAGTGGTATTGAGCAATTCTGCCCTTCAGCAGGACTTGTCTGACCAAACAGAGGGATTCTGTCTCTCACTATCACCATAAGTATTAGATTGGCAGTTGTTTGTTTATGTTCCATAAAGAGCCTTCTGATTATATGAACAGTCTTTCAGATGTAGCTGTTTTTTTCTGTAACAAAATATTGTTTGTATCTCTTACAAGCAGAGCTTGAGAAATCCTGAATCCAGAGAAGAATTCGAAGCTTACACAGCTGGTACAACGATCTTGCCCTGTACCACCTTGCATCTCTGTGTAGTAAAACCATGGGAACAGGCTATTCCTGAATTGCTGCTCCTGCTCTTCTCATTGTACTTGATATTGATGGCTCCAAATTTATTTTTAAAAGTGAAACATTATGTATATATTCTGATTATTAAAAGAATCTGCAGCTTTTAAGAAAAAATACTGCAGTCACAGTCTGAAAACAGTACTGAATGTTCATTTATTCTGAGCTTTTAAACCTCCTGGTTACTCAAAAGATTTTTTTTTTTTGAGAAAAAGGGCAATGTGATTGTTTTCTTTAAATTGCAGCTGCAGAAAATGAGGCAGAAATATTCAGAAGTGTTTATTTGGCTGCTGAGGTTGTGAGCAGACACTCAGCAGTGCTGTGTTTGCTCCTCAGGCAGTCCTTGATGGGTTATTCTCATCCCTCCACAGCCTCCTGTGTTGTGCTGGCCCACCTCTGTGTGAATGTGCACTGAAGCACTCAGGGGAGTGATTCACATGAAAAATAAAGCTGTATTTTTAGATCAAGGGCAGCGCTGGTAAAAGCAGACATCAAACAGCAGCCTGGTGTTGGCACAGGGGGAGATGGATTCCATTAGAGTGCTTGTCTAAATAAGAAAAACTCCCTATGAACTGTTGTTGCAGCCCCAGCCATAAACTGTGGGCTCGGGTCATAGGAGAGCTGGATGTTGGCCCTGCTCTGTCAAATTTAGGAGCTACACCTTAATGGATTGTTGGGCTTTTTATAAACTGAGACCAAGGCTGTGTTTCAGCAGCTGTAATAAAGGAGTTCTGTCAAGTGTTGTTCCCCAACAATAGGCTCTAATTTAGGTCTCTAGTTTATGCTGGAAGTGCAAAGGCAGATTCTAATCCTTGTTCTGTGTATTTATGTGTATCCTGGTGTGCAGACTGCCACAGCAGCAGCTCTGAGTAGAAATACTTGTGCAGAAGCTGCTACAGAGTGAAGGAGCAGTGTTTGTGTATTTTCTCCAGTTATATTTCAAGAGCCCCTTACAGTGAGATTTCTAATTTTAAGCACCAGGAATTCCTCCCAGGGAAACAGTACTGATACCATAAGAAATCTTCTCTGCAGAATAAGAGCTTGAAAGGACATTAAGACACAAACCTGCAAGAAGTATTCTCAGAAACACAGGCAGCATTGAGCCTGGTTATTTGGCTGGGCTTGCAACTCTGAACTTTTTAAGAATTAAAACCAAAATTGGCTTTTATAAGGTTTTGTTGCTGTTCCCAAAGCATTCTGATTGCTGCCTCAGCAGAGGCACTGAGCAGTAAATTGCTTTTGATGCATTACAAACAGATTTTTCTGGTTAGTTGTCACTGACAGTGATGGCTTTGACGTTGGTCTGGTCTGCAGGATTAATCCAAGGACACCCAACAGCTGTTCCATGGTAATTGTTCCAGCCTGCCCCATCCTCTTCTGGAGGGACACCCATTAATTAGGAGTTTATCCAGTGCAACATTGTGAATCCCTCATTCTGAATCCCTCGTGCTCTTCCAGCGTGACAGATGTTGTCTTGTTCTTTGGGCCTTGTCTGGCAAGGACTTGTGCACCTGGCCTAGGAAGCTTTTTTTTTTTTTTGGATGTAGTACATTGCAATAAATATCTCATATTCCTCCAAAGCAGTTCCCTTCTCTGGGCTGTTCCATGGCCACTGACATACAGCTGGCTGGAATCACAGTCCATGTCTGTTCTAACAGTAGGAAATGTGTCAGCAGGACAAGGAACACAGCTCTGCTAGGGGAGATTTTTCATTAGTGTCTTGGCAGCCACTCTGTAAGAATTTCAAGTGAAACTGATTTTGAGAAGTAGCATTTTTGAGTTAACCCTGAGATTCTTTCTGGGCTAAGAAGTAAAATTTCTCTTTTTTTTCCCCTGTTTTGTGCAGAAGCTCAAGAATACATTAGAGAACATTGTCTTAAGAAATTCGCTTTAAGCTGCCCCCCTCCTCACCCTTTCTTTCTTCCCTCTGCCTTCAGTTGATTCCATTGTTCTCCATAAATAGAAGGTTCTCTATAGAATTGGCTTTTCCAGGGGTTGAACAACTGCCCTGGGATTTCTTCTCCAATATAGGTGTAGTCATTCATTTCAGCATTAGGTGTTTTCTTAGTTCCATCTGTCCAATATTATATAACCTTGACTGTGTTAGAGTTGCTGGGTTTTTTTCTGTAGTGTTCACAGAATAAAAGCCAAGATATAGCACTGCAAGTTGTATTTTGAACAGTCCTCAGGTGTTGATCACCTGGAGATGGTCTCACAGCTCTTTCCAGGAAAAATTATGTGGCTGGACCAAAAAAACCCAGATTATTAATGCGTAAGACAATCCAAGTGACTATGGAAAACTTATTACATAAATTAATGATAAATACCAACAAGGAATATATCTTTTGTTAACAGTTCTCATCAGCACTCACAGTTATTTTGTATAGCAATAAAACTAGCAAGACAATTGGTTTTGAAGGTGTCACAGTGCAGTCTTCTGAAATACAATAAAAGGTGATCCCCTTGTTCAGATTACCTGCTTTAATAAACTGAATCCAGTAGACACTACAGCACCTACACTAAATATTTATTGTTTTGGTCAAATTGGAAGAAAAGATTGATTGCTGGACTAAACCTGCCCTGTCCTGTGGTTTGCAAAATAGAACAAAACATCCTGTTATATTTTCTGAGTTAATCCAAGCTTGGAGAAGAACATTTGAGAAGTCTATCTGTATCTGCTAGAGTAATTAATTCTAAGAGCTGGTAAGAAGAATTTTAATAAAATCTGGAATTATAATCTCCCTATGTGATTTATAACTCTTAGAATTACCTTGTTAAGCAAACAAAAATTTGAAGTCTTTTGATGGGTGGCAATTTAATAGAAAGAGTGAAAAAGTATATAATTATCTTCCTTTGAGTGCTGCTGATTTTAGTGCTATACTCAGTTTTGCATTTTCCTGTCAAATTGAGCCCTTTTCCACTTGAGGTGATGGGTTCAGTGGTCAGCTCCACTTTTCCTCCCTGAGGCTGTTGCCTCTGGAGCAGGATGAGTGAATGGCACATATTGTCACTCAGGAATAGTCAGCTAGTCTGGCATGTTAACCTAAGCTGTCAGGGAGGGCTCTGACCTCCTTCCTTGTGTCTGGAAGTGCTGGTTCCAATTTCGGGAAGAGATGGTGATTTGGCAGAAGAAAGGCTGATGTGTCTTTCCCACGGATTACAGGGAGCAGGGATAGGCCAGGTCTGTCAGGGCTCGTTGCTCTGTGACCTCTGAAGTGTCCAGGGCAGGTTTGGCACTTTTCAAGATGTGAAAAAAGGAGTTTTTTTGGGTGACTCCAACCTTAAAATGAGATTCAAATCCTTGAATGCAGGATACAGCAGTATCTTCCCAGAACTGCAGGGGGAAGCAGATGACTGCTAATGAACGACTTAGAATTGGTATTTGCAGCTGAAAAGTATATTCCTTGTCTGCTTAAATTCCTTGTTTCTGTGCCTCACTTGAGCTCCAGTAATTTTAAATTCGCTGCTTCTTGGCGACCTTCCAGAAGGGAGTGTGAGGGGCAGGTGTGCATTGTCACTGTGGAAATAGAGGAGAGAGAGCACAGTTTGCTGCTCCTGCCTGGTTTGGAGCCAAGAACAGTTCCCTGGCAAAGGTGAATCAATGGATCAAATAAAATGCATAGGAACAGCCAGAAGAAGGATAGTTGGAATCGTTACAACCTAAGGCTGTTTGTCCTTCAACTCCCACTGGCTCTGATTAAGGATTTCACTTCCAGCACTTTTATTGTATTGGTCATTTCCCATCCAAACAGGGAAAATGTGTAGGTTGCTTTCTTCTCTCCCAGCAGAATAATGCTTTAAATGCTTTTATTTTTAACCCTGGCAGAGTAGCTGAGGTGCAGGCACTGTATGTGATGGCCTTACTTTGGAATTGCACTTTATTGTCACTAGGCCAAGGTGTCCTTTCTCATGACTTCAGATCAGACCTTTCTTCAGTACCTCTGGCTTGCCAGCCAGGTTTGTGTTAACATACTAATTTCTTCTGAGTATGGGATTGTAAGTCAGTATCCAAATCTAAACATTTCTAATTAGATCCTTGAAAGATTTTTTTTTTAAATTTTTTTTTTTACTTTATACAAACTGGCACTTGGAATTTGTGTTAATAAAATTTGAAAAAGAACTCACAAACCTTTAGATTTTACTGATTTTGAATAGCAGAAAATGACAGAGTGGAGTGTAAATTGAGGAAGTTGTGCCTGACCCCAATGTGTACATGAGCAGCCTCAGGGAATGGAATAGGGAGATGGCTTTTCCTTAGGCAGAGCATTCCAGGAGTTCAGGCTGACCTACTTCCCTGCTGAGCAAAGGGCAGCCTGCCCTGCAGCTACTGAAATCTTCTCCTGAAAAACGAGTGGGTGGGGACACTGAAGTGACATTGTGCAAAATTTGTCCCAGGGACAAGTCACTTGCAATTTTTTCCCTCTGGACTGATGTGATCACAGTAAACTGATGACCAGTCACTCTGCAGTTGTCCGTGGAAGCTGGAAATTTAACATCCTGAGTGAAGAGTTGTGTCTTCTCACAGTGGTTTGGTTGTTTGGGTTTTTTACCCTGAATTTAAATAGAACACAAATTCTCCCCTGAGCAGCCCTTTCAGCTTAAATGTAAATTCAGCAGAAGAGTTGACTTGCTACTGTTTTGTGTTAAGATTTTCTGTAAAAGACATGTATATGTGGAGGAATAAATAATGTATTTATTTCACAATCACACAACCTGCTTTTGAGGGCAATGCCTTTAGGATGTGAGGGGCTGATACATTTTTTATGCTTTTACATTTTGTGGAAAAGCCAGAGGAATTTGCTGTTATATATTGCTTATTGGTCAGTCATACTTTAAATGCAAACCCAGAGTGGTCCATGAGGTACCCTATAGACTTCACCTTTTTTAAAAATACTTTGAAAACTTAGACAGTTCGGAACTGAAACCCATAATACAGGAATATCTTGAAAATGTTGGTCAGGCTCTAACAGAAATAACAGGTTTTGAGCTAGGACTGCATTGCTGCTTTGCAGGGAGCTGAGTAAGTAGCAAAACCATACACAGTGCTCTTAAAAATGCTGCTTTGTTTCTTTGTTGTTGTTCCTATTACTATTACTCTTCTTTTTTAATATAGAGCTTATTCTCCTGAATCTTTCTTGCTGCAAATCACTGTTTATATTAGCATTTAATACATAACTAGAGTGAAAATTTTGTCATAATTTTAATAAAAGGAAATAAAATAATGATAATACAGGTAAAACTTTTCATCCAGTATTCCTTGGGTTTAGGCTTTCTGCCTCAGGAATAGTGTGACCATGCTGTAGTTCTGTTTATAAAAAAAAATTCTTTCATTCTTGTAGAGCTGTAACTCAACCCCGTGCAGCAGTGAATCAGCTAATGGCACTGAAAGGCCACTTCTAAATAGGTCATGAGCAATGAAGTCAGTAGGGCTTGTGTTTCAGGCATTTCTGCTCTTGAATGAGGGTTGTCTATGGAGATCTTTCCAGTAGGATCATCATCTCCAGACCTGTTCTGTGCTGGGATCTGGCTGCTTTGTTCACTGGTACGAAAGTCTTGTGCCAACTTCCACTTTGTGTGCACTGAAGATGGTTTGAAAACCCCTTTCTGTGCAGGCCCAGCTGTGTGTGACAGTGGCTTTGCTGGAGCTGTGCTGTCTGTTCTTTGAAAATTCAGGTGTAGCAGTTCCATATTCCTTGTGCTGAACAGCAGAGTCCAGCACACATACAAAGAATTTGGGATTTTAATGCAGCCTGAACCTGAAGTGTTGAATTTGTGTGCTCATATTTAAAAAGCCCATGGCCATTGGTGCACTGTGGAAGGGTTTGGGTGGATTTCTCAGCCCACCCCGAGGAAAAGCATTTTCTAAATAGTGGGGCATGTTTTTGTCTGCCCTTTGTTTTGTGGTGGTTTTTTTTTAAAAATGTGAGGAGCAGTGAGTATTAGAAAACATATTTAATGGGCAGTAGGAACAAATTTCATGATCTGGGCACGTATGGAAAGGGTGAGGTGAGATGAGATTTTGCTGTGTAATTTTGTGTGTCACAACTGAGTGCTCTTGCACTGAGCCTGGTTTGCAGGGCATTGTGATCTGTTACTACCAAGGTGGTGACCATGGTCAGGTGAATTAATTCCCCAAACCAATAAAAGCTGGAGGAGAGAAGCTCTGCTTTTGCATTGTTTGTCAGCTCCTTGGCAGAGCTGTGAGTGGTGCAGTGCTCCACACACAGGACTATATTTAGCTGTTTCCAAGGAGATGTTCTGTGCGATATTGATAATTGCATTAATCCTTGATTCACACAATCTGCAGGAAAGGAAACTGCTCCTTTCCCTAGTGTTGGCTTTTTAATTGCTCAGTGATCTGTAATTTACAGACACCTTGATTTAAGTCCTTTGTGTGTTGGGAGGAAAATCAGTGGTCAAATGATCGGTTTTCTACCATAGAAACGACTCACGAACTCGAGAATTGCTCTTTGATGTTTCCTGAGTCTTACACTGCTTTGTTTTCACTGGTGAGAGGAATGTGTGCCTGTGAAACACTTCCACTGTCAGTGGACATCCTGTGTTTTCTGTGTCAAAGGCGAAGAGCCCCCATGTCAATTCCACTTGTGCCAAGATATTCATGGTTGAAAACACAACTCTGCTCAGCATGTGCAATTCTCACTGTACCACAGAACAGTCCTCCTGTCTCTGGTTCTGATGCTTCAGCCACTCTCTGCATAAGAAATCTTTCAGGGCAGTATCAACCATGGACCTTTTTTAATGCAGTCGACTCAACATGCTTTGTACTTCCCTGAAAGTAACTAGGAATTGCTGAGGTGGAATTATTTCAAGGAAAACTTTACATTTAAAAGATATTCTACATAGTTGACCTGCAGTGATTGAATTAAATTCACTGGGAAAGGGGAAGCAAACAGTCAGCTAAAATGCTAACAGATAGGTTTGAACCATGTAATTCACTGTGGATGCTCTTCCTGCACAGTGGTGTCCAAGAACTGGAGCTTTTTAATTGCCTTGTTGTTACACTCCAGTGTTTCATGGATATCTAAAGTATATCATGTCACAGTGGCTACAAGCAAGCAAGCTTGGTACTACTTAAAATTCTTCAGGTTGTGTTTTATTCTGATTTCCATTCATACTTTATTTGGAACTACAGCTGACCTACTTGTTCATTTCAATTAAATACTTTGAGACATTGTCTTTTCTTTTGTAGAGAAGAAGAAAGGAGAGCACAATGCTGAAGGAGAAAGGAAATGAGCAGTTCAAGAAAGGAGGTGGGTTGATAATCTTTTAACACTTCATGGATGTTAGAGAAGCTTAGGTTAATAGTCAGCCATCATGGTGATGTTGCAGGAAACCCATAGGAAGATTTCACACCTATCCTTGTTCAATTTTAGCACATCATTCGTTTTTCATCCAGCTCTAGAGAAAAGAAAGAGATACCAGACCTCCTTTAGAGTTCTTTAAATCACAAAGACTTGGATTACTAAAGGAGGATTCTCATGAAAGCTGAGTGTTTAATCCAGGAACATGGTACAGAACTGCCTTCCAAGGGCTAGGGTTTCTTTTACTAATCAGAAAAGGCTTCCCCTGGGCTCTGAGTTCAGCTAATGCTTGTGCTTGGAAGTGATGCAGGACTTGGGGGTCTGTAGCTCTCTTGTACCTTTGTACATTGCTTTTTATTAAAAAAACATAAAGGGGGGAGTGGTTCTGCCACCAGCCTTTCATTTAATGTTCCGTGGGTGGAGGATTCACAAAGAAACCGGGAAATGCAGATTCCTACTTTCCTCAGTCAGCAGGGACACAACCAAGGAACTGGTGTACCCTGATAACCAGACAGTGGCCTTCCTGCTGGAGGTCTCTCATTGTGTGCTGAGAGAAAAGGATTCCTGGGGAATGATTTACCAGTTCCGGGAAGCATCAGAGCTGCAGAGGGAAACTGCCCAGCCCATGAAATCCACGAGCCTGCAGTGCTGGCTGAGTCACCTTGTGAGGGCTCATCCACGGCCTCTGCTTGATGAATTCTTTGGCACATCTTTTCAGTGTACCTGTGCCTGTGCCTGCCAAAGTGCTTCCTCATCACAAACACACAGCCTTTGAAGCACCTGTGTGGCAGTAAAATCTCTCTGCAGCTGCTTTGAACAGGTATCAGTGCAGTGACATGTTTCAGCACACGCTTCCCTTCGGATCAAGGATGCACTTAATGTAAGGAGATTCTGCCTGTAAGGCTGGGACTCAAACAGAAGGAAACAATTTCAGGGATGAGAATTACACACACATCATGCTGCACTTGTCATACTGAGCTTAGGACTAAATTACTGCTTTTATCAGGGTGTGAATTTTAAAATAATTGTGTTTGATCTATGTACTACTTAGTAATGTGCTTAGAGAGCAGCTACTGATTCTGGTTTAATACTGCATCATACATGGAGAAATGTTTCCAAAGAAATCTCAGCCATGTGGTTCATGGAATTGAAATAAATGGTTTGGTTTGGGGTTTGTTTAGTTCTCTTTCTATTGCACCTGCAGATTATGGAGAGGCAGAAGACTCTTACACAAAGGCTCTGCAGATTTGTCCAGCCTGCTTCCAGAAAGACAGGGCTGTTCTGTTTTCAAACAGAGCTGCTGCAAAAATGAAACAGGTGAGTGTTCTTATTCTGTGCAACACTGTGTATTGATTCTATGGCAGAGGCAATAATGAAGTCATTAGGGGTGCAGAAAGGAGGGCAAAGGATAAAGCTGTTGGCAGGTTTTGCTCAGTCTGTCCTCCCAGTAGAATTCCTGGTACATTTGTTTTTACTGCAGATGAATATAAACCTGGAGGTTGCACTTGGAACAGAAAAATAGCACAGTAACTCCTGTTCTCAGTTTACCCTCCTGGAAGAAGAACTTTCTTGCAGTGTTCCTCCAGGATTGAGAGATGTAGCTCTGCTTAGAAATGTACCTTGCAGCCATACTTAGGCATAAATAAATAAATAAATTCTTACTCAGCATAGAATATTCCTGTTTGGCTGGAATTATCTGATTTGCCGTTGGGATACTGAACTGTTTGAGCAGGCAAGAAAAAAAATAGAATAGAATCTGTATTAAAGGATGCTGGTGTATCTTTCAAATATGAAAGCTGTAAACTGAAAAACTGGTCCAAATGTTAACTATTTGTGTCCATGGGAAGCTAATCCAGTGGTCCCCATAGGAGCCCAGGATGATTCAAGGACTAGAGTCTCTCACCAGTATAGATCAGTGGAACCCAACAGACCCACACTTTACTCTGAAAACTGATTCATATTATTAATAACTTCCCCATAAATTTGTTCTTCCATACCTGCTGCTCCCATTTTAGCTTGTGAGGCATTCTTCCCTGAGACAGCTTCTGTTCATGGAGGAGAAAATATTGGGAGTAGAAAGATTCCTACTACTCAGATCAACAGTACAAGCTCAGAACTGCCTGATTTATTTGAAACCTTTTAGTTTAGGTGAAAACAGGATCCCTGATTACACAAATATCCCAGTGCCTTGGAATGCCACACAAACTTGTTTCCAAGAATCACAGAATCACTGAGGTTGGAAAAGACCTCCAAGATCATCAAGTCCAACCTATGACCCATCCCCAAGTTGCCAACCAGACCAGAGCACTGAGTGCCACATCCAGTCATTCCTTGAACTCCTCCAGGGATGGTGCCTCCACCACTATCATGAAGAAATATGACTTAAATGTAACAAAACTCTGTTGTGCTCTTTGTAGGACAAGACAGAAGCTGCCCTGAGTGACTGCACCAAAGGTACCACTTTTTTCTTCCTCTATGTGCTGCACTTCTGCCAGATCTCTCCTGCATAAATTATGCCTGTTAGTGCCTTATTGCAGAGCTATAATTTTGGGCATAAGGGTGTTTAAAGAATTTAATGGAAAGCTGTGATGGAAGATACCTGATTTGTATTATTTCTTTTGTAAAATGTCTATCAAACTTTTCCTGTCTGGAATAATTCTCTTGTACCAATAATGCTGCTCTTTGTACTTCTTTTGAATAGGGAAGTCTTTTTACTATGGAAACTGTTTCCTTACACCTACTATTTTAAACCCACTTCCACCTGCCATTCCCTGCCAAATCTTGGTTTAATCCCAGATTCCAAAGAACTGTGAGGCCTTATAGAGTTAAAAGCATTATCAAGTCCCTTTTCTGCACAGCTTTTGCTTTGTCACAAGGGCTTGTGCTCTCCCGTTCTTGCCCTGCATAGTTTTCTCTCTGCACCTTCTGGTGGAATCATTTCAGCTGTGCTTTGCTGTATTGCTTCCACCCACTCACCCACACTCAAGTATTTGTTAAACTCCCCATGACAGCTGGGGAAAAAAGCCCAAATTACCAATCAGAGAACTAATCCAGTGGCTGTGTGCCAGTACTGCTTGTACAGTAAATATGAGTTTGTACATGCTAAAAGTACTCTTGAAGGTACCAAATCCCAGCTGGCCTCTGTCACTGGGGGGGGGTTGACTTGCTTTGGTGGTGGTGCAGTTTGAAAAACACTTTTACTTTTGTAGTGGCTGAAGGGGAATCAATCTGCTCTGCAGCAGAGAGACTTAAACTGCCGGTGCCTGACTTCCCCAGGGACTTACAGACTGCAGTGCAACACTTGGAGCACAGCAGAGCAATTCACACTAGCCTGCACTTGCTGACTGTAGCATTGCCTTTGTCCTTCCAGAGGAAATAAGCTAGAATGTTTAGTTAGATAATCCTGGATTTAATTGTCCCTAGAACCATTTTAATGGGTTAGTAATTACAAAATGGACAGACCTTTCATATTCCCTCTTTCTGTGATGAAAAATCTTTCATACTCCCTCTTTTTTCTGATGAAAAATGGATTAAGGAGTTCTTGAGGAATTACCATTTGGAGGTGTCTGTTAAGTTTAGCCTTCAGTCTGAACTGACAACAGTCATGGCTGCCATGGGAACGAGGAGAGGAAGAGCTTAAATCCAGTTAGGATGCCCCTCTGCTGACTTGTAAATCCAAAATAACTGGATTCCCAACCCAATTTTGACAGTTTGATACTAAATTCAGAACAGCACCAGTGATTCTCCTGGAGTTTGTCTCAACTCAAACTAAGCATGGAAATGCATATTTTCCCTGCTGTGTGTATCTTTAGCATATTTAACTGTATCTGTGATCCAATAATATACACTTGTTAAATACACAGAAGCTGAAATATCTTACAGATCCTTAAACTTTCTGAAGCATCACTTAGAATCTCTGCATATATAGTATTGCAAAATTAAATGTTTGTACATTATAAATCACTTCCATCTGTGATAGATTATGGACATTAAGTGAAATATGATCATTTGCATGAGACTTTCCCAGGCAGCTGTTTGCCTTCCTGAATTCTGACTTAGCTTTTAAGCTCTGCTTGATTCTAAGTTACATTATAAAGGTAACTTAAGAATTTAATACACACTTAAGAATTCATTTAAGGGGTGTAGAAATGTCTCAGGTAAAATACTGTGCTTTGGTTTTGTTTTCCAGCTGTGGAATTAGACCCTCACTATATTAGAGCTTTGCTGAGGAGAGCAGAACTATATGAAAAAACAGAAAAACTAGATGAAGCTCTGGAAGATTATAAGGCAATCCTAGAAAAAGACCCATCAGTTCATCAAGCCAGAGAAGCTTGCATGGTAAGCCTTTTTTGTACTTTGGCCTAACTTTAAACCTCACTTTTACTTCCTTTCCTATTCTAAATGTTCAATGCTGTTTGTTTAAGCAGCTTCCTATGCAGTGGTATAACATTTTTTTTCAAGTCTTAAAGAGTAGTGGTTTTCTCACCTGGCTTTACATAAGGAAGATTGAATGATCTGCCACAAATTCCATGACAAGTCTCTGCTCCATAAAGCAGAATCCTCCTTTTACCTTTGTAAAATGAGTCAAAGTAAATGTGTGTTCTGAGCTCTGAGCATCTAATGACCTGTTGAGCTGTACAGCTCACACACACACTTTACATTCTCTGATCAAGGCTGTTAATTGTATTTCTGTGTGTGCTACAAGAGGGTGCCTGAACCTGCTGCATATTAGTGCCAGCATTTCAACAGAGATCTGCAATTTGGAGGTCAGAACAGAAGTACCCTGTGATGCAGCTAAGAACTGGCTGGTTCAGAACTGAGTGTCTTTCAGGAGAATTATTTTTCTGATTATATAATTTTGAGAATGGAAAAAAAGACAGGATTCTCTCAGTCTGTAGGTTTGTGTCTTACTTTAAAATGTTGGTATTTTGTTTCTCTGTTCAACTGTTTTCCCTTCTTGTTTTCTGTGCCTTCTGTGTGGATTGGGCAGTCTTGAGTTATTTTATTAATGGTGACTGAAATCTGCTAATAATCTTCAAAACCTCAGCCTTTTCCTGCAGGGAAAGGCACTTTGTGACTAGCAAACAACCTCTTCTGATTCAGTTACTTTCTTCTAATATAAAAGAATTCTGCAGCTTAGTAATTCTTCAGCTCCGTCCTGTGTTCCAGTGTCCACTTTCACCACTTTCAATCAAATTACAAATACTTCAGAATTAAACATTTCTTGCAAAATCTTGGCCATATCTCTGCACATGTAAGGAAGTGCTTTGAAAGCTTCCCTGGCTTTTAGGATGTGTCAGCTTGGATGAAAAAAGATAAACCCCTGGCACTTCCTGAAACCCCAGCCTAACATGTAAATAATCCCTCCTCAGTGGGGATTTGAAGTCACTGCCACAACCTGCTGATCTGAGCTTTAAGTAACTCTTTGTGCAAAGCACCAGCAGGAAGTGATTTTTCTGGTGATATTCAGTGGGGAAGTAGCTCTGGATTTGACAAGTTCAGAGGGGCTTTTCTCAAGGGTAGCAAGAAGGGAAGTCTGTTCTCTGCAGACACCTCTTAGAGGCTGCTGTTCTTGTTTTTGGAAAGAGGTTATGGAGGCTGTGTTGACAGGACAAATGTGGTAGAGGTGCAGCCAGACAGGTGTGGGTTTGAAGGAACACGTGCTGATGAAAGGCAACCACTCTAAAAAATGCAGGGGTTGCCACTTTTTATCCAAGTGGGAGCTGCAAAGCATGGCAGGGGAATGGTTTGTGGAGAGCCTGGGAAGAGCTGAGCAGGGAAAACAACAACCAAACTATTCCTTACTTCTGTAAATGTAAAAAAAAAAAAAAAGAAAAAAACCCAGTAAAGATAAATAGATGCGATTTGAAAACGTAATTCTTAGTTGGGCACCCAAATCTGTGCCAATACTTGACTTTATTTATAGCTGGTTAAATTTTCAAAGGGCACTATTATTTTAGTTCAGCTTCACATCAGTGAACCTGCAATGAATTCTATCCCAGAAAGAAAAATGCATCACCTGCAAATTTGATTCTAAATCCCCTTTGAATGTGTTGTTACAAAAATATTTTTGAAAGGCTTAATTGTTTTAACATTCCAGTTGGGAAAATAAATCATTGGTAGTGATTCTCCCTCACCCTTTCCCCACACTGTGATGTTGTAAGTGACAGATTAGAAACGGCCTTTATGGCATATTAGGCAAGAAATCTTGCCTGAAATGATTTCCTTTGGGACTGGATCAGTTGCGCTGATGGCAGAGAAATGTGCTGCTTAACTGTGTAACTCCTGTTCTGGGGAAGGGTGTGATTGCAGGGAGCAGCTGAGCTGACCCACAAACCTTTGGTGCCTGCAGGGCTGTGCAGGGGCCTCCTCGTGCCAGGGTGGGACCAGCTCAAGGCTGAACAGGCTCCCAGGGCAGTGGGCACGGCCCCAGGGCTGCCAGAGCTCAAGGAGTGTTTGAACAATGCTCTCAGGATACTGCTGGGATTGCTGGGGTGTCCTGGGCAGGGCCAGGAGTTGATCCCTGTGGGTCCTTTCGAGCTCAGGATACTCTTTGATTCTAAGTCTGACCCTCAGAAATGGCTGGATCTGTTTAGGCTGCTTGGAACCCCCTCAAAGTACAGACACTGCCCTTTATACCTCAGGCAAAACTCATCATTTTCTCTCAGAGACTGTGCCCTGATAATCTCACAAAGAGCCCTTGCTCAGTCCCCAGTGAATCATAAGTGCTGCTGTTCCTCCTGGCCATCTTCCAGGAATATTTTAGAATAATCACTGATTTATTCTTAATTTTTTGTGGCTGGAAGTGCAGAGGTTGACTGATACACGTACCTTCTGCTCCTTGACCTCATTTTTCCAGACAGAGGCTTTGGGCTCACATGTGGTGCAGAACACTTTGTACAAAATGCCCTCAATTTACACTGCAGTGGGATTTAGGATGTTCTGCTCCAAGCTGGTCCTGCTCTTTGTCAAGTTTCAGGGGAGAATGAATCTATTGAGGCTGAAGCTTAAAGCTCCCCTCTTGAAAAATCATTAGGGAAATCCTGACAGTTTTACACTTCTTAAAATATTCATCATAAATCTCTACATTTCATCATAAACCAATTTCAGCTGTAATGTTGGCTCCACATATGTGGTTAATGTATCTGACATGTAGGAGCTTTGCTTTATTGGAAGGTAAAAGTGCCTCTGCTTTGCAGAAATATCACAGCAGGTTTTCCCCCTCGCTGGCAATGAAGATGATGCAGCAAGAGAATCTGCAAATTTGCCCCACTCATCATTACAGCAAAACTTCCTCCTTTCTGTACCTAGAAATGATTTCATATCCTGCTTTAGGGAGTGTCATGACCTTGTTAAATGACAGTTTTAAAATATTAAATACACAGTAGTTCTTTGCTTTGACTGCTGATTTGGTACCTGCTCTGGTATTTCAGCTCTGTTTGTATTTCAGGAGTGCAGTACTGCTTTTCTGATTTAAACCCTCATTTCACCACTTCAGTTACTTTTGAACCTTCAGTGCCAAACTAACCAGTTTGAAATGATCATGTTTCATGGCCAAATAATCCCTATTGCTGCTTTCCTGAAAGTTTAATTATATGGAATCACTGTTTAGGGTTTGTTTTTAACAGGTGTGTTAAGTGCTGTGTGAATTTTTAGCTTCCACACAGTTTTTGAGGGATTGGCAGGGCAGATAAACTGCTTTACCAGGAGCTGTACTTTGTGATAAGTATCACAGGTAAACAGGTGTCCATAAGCACATACAAATACATTTCTGGGGTGAGAAATGTATCCTGGATATATGTATAAAAATCCCATCATCCTGCCCTACAGCATTATTGAAAGCAGGGGTCTGATTCCAGCTTTTCTCTCTCTCCACAGCGATTACCAAGACAAATTGAAGAGAGGAATGAAAAATTAAAGAAAGAAATGTTGGGTAAGTAGCATGTACATATAACTTCCATAATAACCTTCATAGTCTACTGGGGGAAAAAAAAAGCATGAATAGAATCTCTTGTATAAAATTTAAGAAGGTAAATCTTAAAGGAAATATTTGTGTTAAACAAAACTCCTGATTTCTTTGTAGTTCTCTGTTTCTTGGTGTCACCTCAAGTAAGTGCTGGCCAAATAATTCTCCCAGAAAGAAAATTACATTCAAAGAAAGGATACTTAAGACCTTCTAAAACAATTTAATATTGGAGTATGTAAAAGCTGAGAAAAATGGTTTGAAACAGACCAACTGCTCTGCCCTTTCCCTAAAACCTTCAAAACAAACATTTCCATGGAAGAAGGGATAAACCAGGGGTTTCACCAAACCCTTATGTAAAAGTCACCCAGCTGTAATAACTGAGGGTGTTTGATCTTGTGTCTGAAGAAATAAATCTGATTCTTTCTGTGGCACTTCCAACCTGCAGACCTCCAAGTCTTCATGTTTACCTTGATTTATACAGTATTTCAGTACTGTTTGTTTGGAGTCTGAATTGGACCTACCCAGTGTTACAAACAGGCCTTGTTAGGAGGGTGATTACATTTCCTAATGGCACAGTTTGTTGTGTCTTGATTCTTTACAATTCTGTAACAAAGGACTTGTTGGTAGAAAAGATAATTTAATTAATGCAACTCATCTGAATGTCTGTGCCCCCATCACCTTGTTGTGTGGCGTTGCTTGGATGACATCTTAACTGGACTGATATATTTGAAAAGGATAAATACTTGGAGTTCCCGAGCAAGGTTGGTTGGTTTATATAGATATAGATATAAAACAGTTATATGGTTAAATTAACACTTTTGAAGGGAACCTCGTGCCAAAAAAAGGCTGCTGTCAGCGTTGTCTCCTCATTAACAGGGTGAATTAATTCTTACAGGTTCGGCCATCCTTGTGCTTTTTCAAGTGAGGGTTTTTTTTAATATAAATTTTTCATTTGCACTGTTTAGAAAAGCCACACAAAAGAGCAAGGAGCAGTGACAGTGTGAGAGAGACTGTACCTGCCCTGCTTCAGAAATAGCTCTCAGGAGCTCTCTGCTCGTTCTGGGTGTGACAGGCAGGAGATGAAATGCTGTTCTGAGATGAGCAGGCTTGGAGGGTTTGTGATGGGAAGGGGAGGGCAGGGTTTTGCTGTTCTGCAGAGAATCAGGTTAAATAAACTCAGCCTGTCTAACTCTGACACTGATTCTTAATATATTTAGGAAGAAGAGACTGTTTCAAGGGCTTGTGCTGAAGCTGATATTTTTGTGTAATTTCTTTTCTTGATCTGCAGACCCTGATTTGCTCTTGCTTTGTACCTGCTCTGACCTGGCAAAGTGTCAGTGAGGCTTTCTAGGGCTTTACAGGATCAGATTCTGTTTCCACCATTGTACTTAGAACAAGCCATAAATAACGAAGGTTGATAGTGCTATAAATAAATGAGAAATGCAGAAAATCTCCAGAAGGATCAGGCCCATTTGTAGGACATGGGATGGGTCTCAGAACAAAATAATGTCAAAATTCCTGATCTTTTTGGGACTCTAAAGGGCCTCACTAATCACAAGGAAACAATAAATTCAAACCTGATTCTATACTGCTACTTTTTTGCCTAGATTGGAGACTAGATATGATCTTTTTTTAGAAGGGTTCAAACTTTAAAAGTGGCACTTAGCATTGCAGAAATGAACTGGTCCTTTGGCAGCCAGTTCAGAAAATTTTAAGGGGCTTCTTGAGAAAGAAATTCCTTCTCAGTGATGTTACAGACATACAAGGAGTTACAAACAGCCAGGAGAACCAGACTAAGAGTGGACAGTACAACATGTAACCTTGTGTTCATCCACCACCTTTGTGTGTGACAGGATTCACCTAAATCGTCACATGTATTGTTAAATTACACGCTGTCAGTGGGGCAGGTGATATTATACTCTTAGCACTGCTTGTGGTCCCCAATGTTACACAGACTGAGGGGGGTTCTATAATTTATTCTCTGAATAGATCACTTGAAATTAAGTCAGGAATATGGGAAGCTCATTTTCTTAAGTGCTGTAAGACTCCTTGTATCTTGTCGGTGCGAGAGACAGTGGTGATGTCATGGAGCTACCCCTGGGGGCCTGGGAATGAAGTACTTCCTAAGGTTGACAACCTGCTCCTGTTCTGTCTGAGGTCAGGGAAAAACCCTTACAAGGAAGGAGGTTTAGATGGGAATTCTGGAAGACAACAGACTTCATACAGTGTGGTGGTTATGAGATTCCTTTGGATTGTTTTTGTTGTACAGAGTATTTATTCTGAGCTGTTTCCACTTGTCTTTTTCCAGACCTTTGTTAATGCTGTTTCCCGAGGGAGTCCTGGGTCAGGATAGACAGTGGCTTGTGGCAATCTGTCAGGAGATGGTCTCACTGAGGGTTCAGCAGTGCCAGGTGCATTCTTGCCTTCTCACAGGGTCAGCTCAGGTATCTGGGTTGTACTCCAGATATTTTGGTTCCAGGGAGAGCAAGTCAGATGCATCCTAATAGTTCCAGGCTAGGCCTGCTCCAGGAGCACTGAGACTAAATTGAAATTACCAACAGAATCTTTAGAAAGAATGTCCCAGTTCATGCTTTGGCTTTCACAGGATATTGAGTTGATCCTTGTCTTGGTCAGTGAATCAGCCAAATAAATGCTACGCTTTTATTCTTTCACTGTAACAAATCCAGAGGTACCCAACTAACTCCCACTGTCCTGAAAACTGGAGCTGTATGTAAACAAACCAAAACAAATGGAGTGCATCTTCCTCCCTCCCCGAGTGTGTTTCCTGTTTTCCAGTGCTACAGCTCATTACCACATAGTTTGTCAGAAGCTGAAACCACTTCTGAAGTGATTGTGTGTAAATAAGTCAGAGTACACATTCTTGGCTAGGTTTTCTTTCCTGACTACCTAAGGAGGAATTCTTGTGTGAAGTGGTGATGCATGTGACTGATGATGTCATTAGAAAAATCCTATTTTGTGGCCAAACCAAGTCCATTTGAGCTGTGTGTTCTGCAAGGACCTTACTTTTCCAAAGCTGACATTTGTATTTATAAGTTATTTTCATGTTTTCCATTCAGCCTTTGCAGGTCAATTCTTTTGTCACTGAAGTTTGCTCAGGCTGAAGTGACCTCTGAGTTCCACATCAAAGAAAGCTTAACCTAAAACACATTTGGGAAGTAGCTTTGAAATCCATTTGGATCTTTCCCTTTACGCTTTCATAACATGAGTATCCTGTGCCTCAGTGTCTGTCCAAGGATGTGAACACACAGTGACCATTTTCTCTCTTCTTTTGTATTTTTCTTCTGACCTCAAAGCCAATGATTTCCAGCTCTTGTGCAACAAGCCAGTCTTGTTTAGAGAAACTGTAATTATTGTGATAACTAGGACCACTCCTCTGGGGGAGGGTGTGAGGAGAGGGGAAGTTTGGAATAGTTAGAGGAGCTTGGGGGCTGTGACAATGATACAGCTCCAGGGGAGCCAGGGATATTAAATACAAAAACCTGGGATTGAACTTGCCAGTGTGTGCAGCCCATCTTACACACACAGTGTTGTATTTGCAGCTGAGCTGCTAAATCCCAATAGTGCATATAGGGAGGTCACTTTAAATAGTTAAACCAGAGCTAAGATACAGTTTCCTATAGTTCAGTCCTCAGCAATTTATGGAAAGGAGAAAGATTTGCCCTTGCTCTTTTTATTGTTTTATAAATGTTGGTAATACACAAAGTTACAGAGAGGAGACCTCATCAGGAAATCTGTCTTTTATCCAAAAAAGAATCTTAACACAAACAATATGTAGCTTTTCAACTTCCAAACACCACGTTAACACCAGTAACTAAACTAGAATTATTGCCAGAAGGACTGAATAGGAATTAATTTTGGCTGTTATATCCTAATGTAACTTGTGAGGAATCTTTTCCTGCATTTGCCTTTCTCAATAGGGTGTTAAATTGCAGTTTAGGTGAGTGATGAATGACAGACTTCTGAGGCCTAAATTGATTTTTACCAGTAAGTTTTCTTGGTAACCCCTCAATATTGCTTTGTTGAAGAAACTTTATGTGCTGGAGTTGCAGGTGAAAAGTAGACGTGGTGTCTCTGAAATAAGAAGAACAAAATTTATGAAAATCAGGTCTCAGAGAGGAGAGTGTGACCCTGCTTGGGGACAAGGAGTGTGTGATGGCTGGGAACTCTCTGCAGCTGAGTCCCAGCCCCACGTGCCTTTTCCTTCCTCCAAGCACAGGCTCTGTGCTAAGAGAGCTTTTCTTAACTACACATCCTAATTTAGGGATGAAAGGAGGTGGGGGAGGAGGAAACACTGCTTCCCTACAATGATGGGTTTATGTGTGCCAGGACAGCAGGAGCAGCTCTGGGCTGGAGTTCCTGGAAAAGCCAAGGCTTTCTTCTGCCTCATTAACAATTTATATTCAGTGTGGCTGCCCCAGAGCCATTGCTGTCTGTGGAATGAAGTGATAGAACAGGAAGGTGACCTGTGACTGTGTTGTTTGAATTATTCAGTCGCAGTGAGATGAAGAATAAAGTACTAAATCTATCATATGGTCTCGGTTCTCCCCGAGAGCTGCCCCAGCTGCAGATCCCGAGGCATCTGGGGTGTGTTTGTTGGCTCTGGAGTGCCTGGAAAAGAGCATCGTGCTCCCTGCAATTAGAAAAGACCTTTCACAGTTTCCTGCCACAGGCAAACCAGCTGCAGGGCCTGGGGGACTCCAGCCATGCCAGACTCTGCCAGGATTCTCCCACCACACAAAGAAATGTCTCACCCCAAACCTGAAGCTCAGCAATGACCAAAATGTTTGCCCAGAAGTACAATAGCAACTGTTCATGGCCCTCACAGAGATGCTGCCAAACTACTTGATGGTTTTATAACCAAGATGCTTTTAGGGTGCAGCATAAAGGTAGGAGGTTAATAGTTAACTTACCTTAGACAGGGTGTATCTTAAAAAAAAACACCACCAGTACAAAGAAGTTAATCCTACCTGAGCTGCTCCCTGGAGTGACTTTGGCCAGATCTCTCAACCACCTCCTGTTAATCCTCACATTAAAAAAAATCAAATTGAAATAAAATTGTGTCTCACCACCCAGCTGCTTTGGTAGGGTCAGGGGTAAGGTTGGCTCTTTTTTGAGGCTTGGATATGTTCTGTTTTGAGCACAGTCACAGGCAAAGCACAGATCTTGATCTTTCTGCAAAGAACTGACATAGGACTTCCCTGCTTATGTTTCTATACTTCTTTTTTCCCTGCTGTGAAGTTCAGAGGAGGCCACGAGGTTGATAAGGGGATAGAGCACCTCCCCATGGACACAGGTCAGGAAAGTTGGGGCTGCTCAGCCTGGAGAAGAGAAGGTTGTGTGGAGACCTCAGAGTCCCTTCCAGGATCTGAAGGGGCTACAGGGAGGCTGGAGAGGGACTCTGCATCAGGAACTGGAGTGACAGGACAAGGGGGAATGGCTTCAAACTGACAGAGAGACCATTTAGATCAGATATTAGGAAGAAATTCTTCCCTGTGAGGGTGGTGAGGCCCTGGCACAGGTTGCCCAGAGAAGCTGTGGCTGCCCCATCCCTGGAAGTGTCCAAGACCAGGTTGGACGGGGCTTGGAGCAACCTGGGCTAGTGGAAAATGTCCCTGCCCATGGCAGGAGAGTGGAACAAGATGAGTTTCAAGGTCCCTTCCAACCCAAACTATTCCATGATTCTACTGCTCCAGTCTGGCCTGGCACCAAACAGAACCCAGGTGAGGTGACCACAGTGACAGGTGTTTCCCATGACTGGAAGCACCTCAGGTAGGAATAGGTGTGGCATTTGCATGTTTTCTTACAGGACTGGGGCTGCTGCAGCTGCTCAGGTGGATTTTCCACGTCATCTATTGCTGTTGTCACATTCAACTCCCAGCAAAACAAAATCCATTCACTGCCCTGAGGGATCAGTGCAGGTGGAAGGCTTTGGGAAGGTGGGGTGTAGCCTGGGGATGCAAACCCAGGTTAGGCTTCAACTTGTCCAGACTTCTCTTGTTTATTCTTTGGGAAATCAGTCTACAGTTCATCAGTGAAGCCAGGAGGAAAATGTTTTTCTTGGAAAACTGACCATCTTCCTCTGTCTTGTCATGCCAGGGGCTCAGTCAACCTGTGTTCAGCCAACAGTGAAGTTGTTACCTCTGTTGTTACCTCTGCTTCTTCTTTTGTTTCATCTATTCTATCATTATATGATTTGTTTTAAAATATGTCCTTTTGTTGTCCTTCCCCTTTTATAGGTGTAGCAAGATTCATTTTCTAGAGTGAGAAAGCCTGTATGATACATATATATTGACAGAAGTCTTAAGATTTTATTAACTGTCATACCCTGTGGATATTTAACAATGACTTCTAATTCCTGTTAAGAGCCTAAATAATACCAAAATGCAGAAATTTCCACAGCATTTACCTGAAATTAATAGGTAAATCAGTAGAGCTGGACTGTAGTTGTCCATAATTCAGTGGGAGTTTTCTTTTTGCTCAGTTCTCACCGTGTTCTCTTGGATTTTCATTGCAGGCAAACTGAAGGATCTTGGGAATTTGGTTCTCCGCCCCTTCGGCCTGTCAACAGAAAACTTCCAGATAAAACAGGATTCATCAACTGGCTCATACTCCATCAACTTTGTTCAAAACCCTAACAACAACAGATAACATGGATTCAGTCTGGCTCTGCCCGTGTTCTTGCACGTCCCAGCGACAGGACCCCAAACACCCTTCACCCTCCCCAGGGGGAGATGAGACTCAGTATATTCATTTTCCTGCTTGTGAAATTATTTGCAATGTGGATGTAAAGCAAGTCATTTGACTTCTCGTAGTGATAACTGTGTCCAGTGTGTGATTTATTCTTTTGTTAAACATTTTTTTCCCTTCCCCTGCGGTGTTTGGCTCATTCAAAAGGGAGGTTCCTTGTTTTGGCCCACTCAGTGCTGGCAACAGAATTCTAGGAAGCAGTTCAGGTGAATCCAAACACTCACCCAGCTGAGGCCAGGAACAAAGGCTCATGGTGTCCTGGGAATTAGGGAATCCACTCAGCAGGTGGGTGTGACTGGCAGCACCATGGACACAAGCTCTGGAATCCTGGTTCTTTGTAATAAAGGCTTGGTGGTGGTTTGGTTTGTGAGGTTCTTGCCTTGTTTGAGTCCTTCTCAGGGTGGTTTTGTTGTTAAAAGTGCTTCCAACCACCCACAAATAACACACTTGCAAGACAATAATTGGAAGCATTTGATTTTTTGGCCTTGCTTAGAGCAATATTGGTAATTTAACCTCAGGCCACCCTCACAGCACAGTTTGTGTACTTGTTACTAATTTTTCTGAAGCTAACGATGACATTTCGTGCCTCTTTCCACCTACACACTTTGTCATGGTACCATCAAATGAAATTTGCTTGTGTGAGATTCATTCATGTTGCAGATATCCACAATGGCAAACATGAGTTGATTGCAAAAGGTCTTCACAGCATCCCGGACCTTGAATAGTTTGAAGTATTTATAGACCGAGATGATCTTTGAGGTCCCTTCCACCCCAAACCAGTCTGTGTTATATAAATGGGTTCTGCTGAGGTGGTTCATTCAGATTTTGGAGAAGGTGCCTTTTGTAATTCCTGCTTTCTGGGTTTTATCAATGCTGAAGTGTTTACATTGGAGGCAGATTCTTCAGTTGTCTCCATGCAGGTTTCAATACATGATTTAATTAAATAATTAGCAGTGGTTGTCTTGGCTATTGGGTGTCATCTTGAATTCATTTCAGAAAGTCTCTGTGTGTGTCTGAAATTAAGGAGCTCCAGCCTTTCACTAACAAGCCTGAAAGGAAAAGCCTTTCCAGCTACAGTGGGTTTGGTGCTTTATTTATTTATTTATTTGTTATGGAGGGTTTTTTTTCATTGTTTAATTCTGTCCTGCTCCATTTTTAGTTTAGTACCTGCTTGTGAACCATCTCCATTCTACAGTGAGTATTAAGTATTAAGTCTATGGGAATTAAAATGTCATTGTCAGAAGAGGAGAGAAGCCCTCATTTGCAGCCTGTGCATCCTCCAGCATCTTCTGCATAATTAAAATGTCACTTAAGTAAATAACAACCACCGGCCTCTGGGATTTCCCTGTGCTGCAACTGAGACTGAGACTTTACTGGAGTAAAGTTTCTGTGCAAGGCTGAATTTCCTGCAGTGGTGAAGTTGGGAAAAAGGGTTTGGTGTGTGGATGGGAGGATTTATAAAAGATTTTGCCCCTCAGAGCTGCTGGAGAGGGGCTTGCCAGGCAGAGGCTCACGTGGCCAGGCCTGTGCAGGGCCAGGGGGGCTGATCAGCTGTGGAACCACTGCTGCCTCAGCTGAGCTCTTCAGCTTCAGGGAAGGCTTAGAGGCTTGGGATCAGTATAAATGTCAATAATCTTCCCTAAAACCTGGAACACTACAAAGCAAAGGTGTCTAAGCTGCTGCAGTGGAGACCTGGGCAGAGCTGGGCTGGGCTGAAACTCCTAAGCTTGGCTTGTGCCCAGCCTGAGGCACTCAGGGATGTGTGAATGAGCTTCCCCCGAGCTCCTGGGGCAGCAAGGCAGGGCAGGGATGTCTGTTCCTGCTTTCCCCAGAGTGGGAAAGCAGCTGGCCCTGGCAGCAGCTCAGTCTGTCCCTGGAGCCTGGCAGCCCACAGGGCTGGAGGGGGACAGAGGGGTCAGCTGGACTTTGCCAGGGACCAGCCCCAGTCCTGCATCCCTGACTGAGCAGGGCAAGTCTGGGCCCTGGGTTTCACTCCCCTGCAACATCTGTACACACCTTTGGAACAAAGAAAAATGGAGCTGCTTTGGAACTACTCTGAATGCTTCAAATTTTCTATATCTTGTTATGACCAATGAATTTCTATCTTTACCCACACTGTGTGTGCAGCTGTTACTCACCCCTGTGTGGCTGCTGTGCCAAGTTACAAGTTGGCTTTTAGCAACCTCCTGCTTCTCTTACAAACGAGTTCAGTGACAGATTCTGTTCCTTCCATCCTGTTCCTGCTTCACTTCTTTAAAGGGCTGGAAGGCTGCAAATATCCCTTCTTGGCTGGAGGCTGGGTAACTTCTGGAAAATAAAAGCAGAACAAAATTTTTGAAATTCCTACCTGCTAAACAAACACATCCTCAATCAGTGCAACTTCCCTGCCTGATGTACCCCTGTAGTTTTCCAATGAAGCAGGATTGCAGCTGATTTGCTTCCACACTTGTGTTTGTAGTTGACTGGATTGTGTGAAAGACTCACTGGGAATTGGGCACATGGTTACTGAGGGCTCAAACCTCCAGGTCATCCCTGCTCAGTGCCACTCTCCAGCTGGACCAGAAACCTCTGACGTGCTATCTGCCATCACAGCAAGTTCTTCTCTAGGTAAAATTCCAGTTAATTGCCTGAAAGTCCTCTTGCATTGTCCAAATCCTGAACAAGTGCATGTGTTTTGCTTTTTAAGATTTTTCTTTATGTCTAAACTAGTCCTCACAGCTGCCCCCAGTAAAGTAACTGGTACTTCCTCCTGGTGCCACTGGCCATAACTCCAGCTCAGTGCCAGGGAGTTGTGAGTCACGTGTTGGACTTACAACCTCTAAAAGGAAAAAAATGTTTTATGAAATGTAATCTTTTAAATATAAGCGTTCTTAAACCAACAAGTCCATTGCTAATTTGTTCCAATAGTTACTCACCCTCTTTGTAACCAGCATGTGCCTCTTTTCCACTTGGAGTTGTCCGTGCTCAGCTCTTGCCTTTGTTCCTTCTTCCTTTGCCTGCCAAATACAAAACCTTTTAGTACCCAGGCTTTTCCCCCTGAACGTGGTTGCATAGAAATAAAGAGACCTGTTGGTCTTGTCCATGAGCTGGACAGACAGGGCTGGGTTAAGTCTCTCCCTATAAACAACTTTCTCCAGGATTTTCATAATGCTTGTGGCTCAGACCTTCCATTTTTGACATCAGAATTGACACTGGGATTTGTCTCCCTTCTGCCCTCTGTACCCTCAGAGACTGGCTTTGTCCTTTTGGCTGCAGGTGGGCTGGGGTTTAGACCTCACAGAATCCCAGAATGGTTTGGGTTGGAAGGGACATTGAGATCATCCAGTCCCATCCCCTGCCATGGGCAGGGACACCCTCCACTATTCCAGGTTGCTCCAAGCCCAGTCCAACCTGGCCTGGAACAGCTAATTCTGGACACTCTGAGTCCCAAGACCTGACCCTCAGAGGAGCTGAACACCTGCAGTTCCCCAGTCTCACCAAAGATTTGGGGGATTTAACATTTTTTAAAGAATTAAAAAAAAAAAAAAGGCCTCTCTCCAGTTCACATATTACAATCTGTCTCCCAAAACACCAGCCCCAAGTGAGGCAGCAGCAGGCCACAATCCAGGACTTGGGAAGAGGCCTAGGACTGACAAAGCTGATCCCCTCCCACCCAGCAGGATCCAAAATCCCCCTCAGCTCATCGCATTAGGATATTTAGGATTTGACAGAGCACCGAGTTCTGAAGCTGAATCCTTCCCTCCTTGATTAGCACATTTCAGCACAAAACATCCAGGAGATCTCCCTACCTCTGATTAGCACAGACACAGCCAGGGAGAAAGGAGAAGCTGCTGGTCACCAGTTCCTAGGCTTTAATTAGCTGTGTTATTCCCAAGGGATTACCGTGCCAGCCAAGCTCTGCTGCAGCCAAGAACCAATTATGTCCAAGTGCCTCCTCTCTTTAACAGGGGGTAAAGATGCGTCGGGGCACATTTAATGTGCAGCATTAATACGTTGCTCATTCACAAGCTTTCCCTGTTTGGAAGAATCCCAGCATTTTCTTGTTCAGCAACTTCATTCTTTCAAACCTGTGCAGGGCTGTAACTGCTGGGCAGTCCCTGCTGTCAGGGGGCCCTGGGAGAGGCGCTGGGAGTCGTGGCATTAAGGCAGAGTCATCACCACCTACCCTGACAAAGATTAAAGATCCTAAATCAACTGAAAACTAAAATAAACCACCTTTTTCCTGATTCTGCATGTTCAGTAGGAATCCCCCAGGTGGAAACCATCTGCAGCTCCAGCCTGCAGTCCTGAGAACTGCGCGTTTCTCACCCGCCGGTTCTGAAGAGGACAATTTACAAATCCAGCATTCCCGAAGCGGACAAAACAGAAATGGATTTGCCTTTCCCGGCCTGGCTGGGAGCAGTGCTCTGGTCCTGGCTCCCAGGACTGCCTGCCTGGCATCCACTGGCTCCGGGCAGTGATTGAGTGGGTGCTGGTCTCTGGGAGCACAAGTGGGGCCCCCACAGCTGCCCGGGGACCTGAACCCCCCCCAGCCACGACAAAGGAGATTGGCAGGATCCAGGCATGAGCTGTGCCTGTTCCTCTGGGATAAGCACACACTGGCCACAGGATTTTCTGTTTCTAACTCTGGTGTGTGAACTGCAGGCTGTCCCTGGCAGAACCCCGAGTGTGGCCGGTGCTCCTGGGCAACACCCTCCCTGCAGACACACCGGGGAAGAGCGAGGTCAGGAAGAGAGATGGCAGGAAGAGGGGAGAAATGTTCTTATCTAGTCTGGGCGGTGGCTGCTGGAACAGCTTCCTAAATGTATTCCTGAGTGCTGCTGGCGAGTGCCCAACGATGCAGCAGGTCCCTGGAGAGGCGGGGGGTGAGGGGGGCTGGGAGCTCAGCTCACCTAATTGCATTTGTCATATTTCCATGAGCTCGTTTGGCTGTGCCCCTGTGCCCCTCCATTGTGGGGCTTTTCTGTCTGAGGAAGGAAGGATTGCAGTGTTTGGGAACTCTGGGAAAGAAGGAGCCTAGAAGATCACAGATTTACTGCTTATGGCTCCAGCCCTGACCTGCACTTGAAGTGACAGTTCTTGCTGTGCCTCGGTGTATGTTTGTGTCTCTGCTCCACGCTGGAATGCAGCTGAGGCCATGGAACCTGCAGCCAGCAGCAAGTTTTCTAAGCCAAGATGCAGCTGATGTCTCCTGGTTTGATTTTGCAGTGTTAATGCAGTGCTGTGTGAGGTCTGGCCACTCCAGTCCTACTCTCACAGCTCATCCCAAGTATTGTCTTTTTAAAGGCAAACAGAGCAAAGTGAGTGTATCACAGAGGGATTATCCACATCCATCTGAGCAGCATTAGTATTTCTGGGATCTTACCCTTA